CTTTTTACCTGCAATACATTTCAGGGGTTAGGGAATGTTCTGTCGGCTGTCAAGAGGGTCAGGAGGGCCTGGCAAACCAGGCGCCAATTCTAATGCTCAGAAGAAAGGCCTTGAGGTCTTTTCAAGGACTGTGGCTGGATGATGAGATGGTGAGGTGCTGGGGTGTCAGAAGGTGTCAGAAGAGGCGTGGCTAGATAATGAAACAGCCAAGATGACACATTCTGCCTTTATGGCAGGCATGCTAATAGCAATGCTCTTGGGGCAGTAATGCATTATTGAATGAAGTCTGACTAATTGGGAATTTGGTCTGAGTCTCCGTACTGAACTCCCAAAGGGAATTTTCTCCCACAGCTGCCCCACTCACTGGATGGAGCTGCCTTGTGAAGAATTCCCAAGATCCTCACAACTCAGGGATGTGGTGGAATGGGGCTCCCTTTCAGAAGGGTCATGCTTCAAGCCCCTCACCGTACAGAGCACCCCTCAGGCATCTCTAGGTGAGGGGTGGAGAGAAGGGGAGCCGGCAGAGGCATCTGGACAGTGGTCACATACCTTCCAGAGAAATCGACGGTTGAAAAGGATGCTTCAATCAGCAAATGGTTCGCTGGTTTGAGATGTTTAATCTTCCGTTTGACCTTATCAAAAGCTTATTTGCACTGGGATTTAAAATTAAGTTTTCTTAAATTATCTGCTCCCGATTTTACACCGTATTAATTTCTCTTCAAGCAAAAGGGACTTATTTCCATACTCCTAGAGACAGGGAAGGGAGAGTGTCTATTTTCACCTCCCCATCTTCCAGCGTGGGGGCTGAGGATCGCTCAGCACCATTTTGGGGAAAGGGTTGTCTACGCAGGGCTCGTGTCCGAGGAGTTATTTTGGAGGGTGGTCCACTCTGCCCAGCCGGTGGCCGTTTCCCTGCTTTACTACTCTGAGATCCCTTCACTGGAGAGGCCACAGATGAAAGCTATGCTCAGGGCACTGCAGAGGGTGAAACTCTGGCATGCTAGCTATGGTCATTGTCTCTGGGTGGACATTTCCCTGACCAAGGGGGGCTGGAGCATGTGCCTTTCAAAGTGATGGTGTGCTCATATGGTTTTCAACAAGGCACAGCTGAGCAAGTTGCTTGTACATAGAAGACCCAGTCCAGAGTCAATCCCTGGCTTTTCCAAATGGATCCAAACTACAAGAAAGAAGATTCCACCTAAACATTAGGAAGAACTTCCTGACAGTAAGAGCTGTTTGACAGTGGAATTTGCTGCCAAGGAGTGTGGTGGAGTCTCCTTCTTTGGAGGTCTTTAAGCAGAGGCTTGACAACCATATGTCAGGAGTGCTCTGATGGGGTTTCCTGCTTGGCAGGGGGTTGGACTCGATGGCCCTTGTGGTCTCTTCCAACTCTATGATTCTATGATTTTCCAGCTAAAAGGATCTCTTGGGTCAGCAGTCCGGGAGCTGTCATTCCTTGAGATCTCAGATCCTTCTGTCATGAGTCCCACTGAAATGTCTTGGAGGGGCTGGTCAGACTGTCAGAATTCCTGCTCCGTGACTGCAGTCATGGGATTTTTGTCTTTCACATGACGGTATATGTTTTGACTCCACAGAGTGAGAAGTGACGGAAACAGGATGTTTGTGTACCTGTGTTCCGTGAAGTGGGACTATTGTTCTTTTTCTCTTTGCTGTCTGATGCTAGAGAGAGAGGGAGCCATGTTGCAATGATCCCTGTGTGTTTATATATAAATAAAGTAGATTAGCCAAAATGCTGAGTTCCTGAGGTCTGTCATGTACAAGTTGCGAAGACTCTGCGGATCCCTAAGTGTGCCGGTGTCGGTTGGCATCGGTCGCTGTGATGTTCAGGCTGAAGAAAGCTTTTGAAGCTCCCGAACGATCGACCAGGAGGGAAAGAACATGCCATGCCAGGGTCCTACTAGGCTGAGCTCCTGACACAGACCTGGATGTGGAATGGGAAGAGCTGGAGGCTGACAAAGAAGGCAATTGGCAAGCTGGAAGGTGTGCAGAGGAGGGTGACCAAGATGATCAAAGGGTCTGGAAACTAAGCCTTATGAGGAATGGTTGAAGGAGCTGGGAATGTTTAGCCTGGAAAAGAGGAGCCTGAGAGGAGACATGATAGCCATCTTCAAATATTTCAAGGGCTGACACTTGGAAGATGGACCCAGCTTGTTTTCTGCTGATCCAGAGGGGAGGACCTGAAGCAATGGCAAGAAAGGGGATTCCAACTAAACCTCAAAAGGAATTTCTGTTGGCAAGAGCCATTCAAAAGTGGAAGGTGGTGGAATCCCATTCACTGGAAGTTTTTAAGCAGAAGTTGGACGGCCATATCTCAGGGATTCTTTAGCTGTCATCGCTGCATCACAGGGGTTTGGACTAGATGACCCTCATGGTCCCTTCCAAAATGCAGTTCTTTGATTCTATGTCCCCAAAGGAGGAGGAGAAACAGCAGCAGCAACAACAACAGGGGCTCCTCTGCAGGAATGGGAGACTCAGATATCCCACCCCCCACCCTTAGGTGGTGGAGTTGGGGAGACAAATGCAAGTGATGAGTGTTGGGGTGCTGTGCCTGAAAGTGAGGCCCCAACCCCCCCTGCAATTCTTGGGCTGTTCCTTCCTTGCCGAAGGCAGGGCAGTGGCTGTGAGTACCAATGGGGCAGCCTCCCCATGGCTCGTCTTCGCCTCCATTATCTCTCAACTTTGAGTGGGTTAGCAGCTAATGTTTCTGAGGAGCAATATCCTTCACCGTCTCCTGTTGCCAGGCAACCAGCCCAGGTGAGCTCTTGAACTTTATCTGGAGAGCTGGAATTTACTAGGGCGTCATGATGCAGAGTACCTCTCCCTCCATCACCAGCCAGAGCCACAAGCTTTCGCCAGGGCTGTCTGCTCCATTTGCCCAGCGGGTGCGAGATGCAAGCTTGGGGAGCAGCAGTGGCAAAGAGGTGATGGGATGGCCGCCTTCAAATATCTCAAGGGCTGTCCCATGGAAGATGGAGCAAGCTTGTTGTCTCCTGCTCTGGAGGGGAGGACCTGAACCCATGGCTTCAAGTTACAATAAAGGAGATTTGGACTAAACATCAGGAAGAACCTTTTGATTGTAAGAGCTGTTCAACTGTGGAAAAGTCTCTCTGGGCAGAGTGGTGGACTCTCCTTCATTGGAAGCTTTTAAGCAGAGGCTGAATGGCCACCTGTCATGGATGCTTTAGCTGAGATACCTGAATTGCAGGGGGTTGGACTAGATGACCCTTGGCTCCCTTTCCAGTGTGACAATCCTAAGAATATATGAAAGCCACAGAACTTAATGCCAGGCTGCCTTTCAGTGCACACAGAAGCTGAGGAGCAAAAATAAGAAGGTTCTGCTTCCTTCTTTGCTCTTCTCCGTCTTCTCCTTGATTGACATTGTAATTGGTCTTTGCCTGCCACGGGCTAATTGAGGTCAGCGCTGATTGCAGTCTGCGCCTCCTGCACTTCCCTGCTCATCCAGTCATGCTGACATCTCCTCACTGCCTGGCACTGATCCTGCTCCTCACCTGGTTCTTCCCTGCAGTCCTGAGATACTGGTGCTGGGCACCCCCCTGGGGAAACATCTGTCCTCACCTGTAAGCAGCACTGGGCAAAACCCCACCACCTCCTCTCCCCCATCAAGGGACAGGGCCACTTGCTTGCCCTGGGCCCAGCTCTGGCCACCCAAAACAAGAAATGGGGTTTGTGAGCTGGAGGAGTTTGCATGCCCGTTTCTGAGTGGCAAGGTCTGCATCTTTCAGGGTTGCCCTTGGGCCTGGTTCAGAAGTGCCAGCTGACGCAGAAGGAGGCTGCCCCATTGCTGATGGGGGCATCTGGCTGAGAATGTGAGTAGCCTTGTTGAAACAGCTGCACTGGCTGCCCACTTACTGCTGAGCCAGGTTCAAGGTCCTGGCATTGATTTGCCAAGATCTGAGCAACTCAGGGCCAGGGTACCTCAGGGACCCCCTCAACCAGTGGTTCTCAACCTGTGGGTCCCCAGATGTTGTTGGACTACAACTCCCATCATCCCTGAGCTCTGGCCTTGCTAGCTTGGGGTGATGGGAGTTGTAGTTCAACAACATCTGGGGACCCACAGGTTGAGAAAGGCTGCGCCTGAACCCTTCTGTCCCAGCTCAGTCACTGGGATCATCTGCATGAGCACCTCCGGTCGTTCCCTGCATTCCCAGTGCATCAGCCCAGGCCTGTGGAACCCTCTGCCACTAGAGATTCAGCCAGAGCCTTCTGCGCCCACTTTCAAATGCCTGCTGAAAACTCTTCTATTCCTTCAGGCCCAGACAGGCAATTCAGAAGACACCCTTCCAAAAATAGTTAGCTGGTTTCTGAGTTTGACGATGTGCTTTTTATTATTCTATTGCTTTTGCAGCTGTTGCAAACCACCCTGATATAATATACTGTATATGTTTATGAATACTGGTGTACAAATATGTTTTCATAAACAAACAAATAAAGAAAACCATGTGTGAATCAGCCTGAAATCTGTCTGCGTGTAGAGAGCACCCAGCTGGGGGTCAGCTCTCTGTCTCTCTCTCCCTCCCCCCCCCATCTCTCTATCTCCCTGAAACTGAGGCAGATCATACCTGCTGGCAGCCCTTCTTCCAGTGATTGAAGGAGCCCTCGATGAGGCACCTGCCAAAATGTTCCAGAGAGAGAAAAGGAACTGATGATTGCCTCCTCCTCAGAGAGAGAGGCCAGCTGCATGGTGGATAAGCAGAGGAGGAACAGGAGAAGGAAGAGCTCTGTGACCCCAATCAGGGAGAATGCTATTATTGCCTCCTTCTTCCCAGATACACCTGGAGATTTGCATTGATAGTGATTGTGCCCATAATGAGGCGTCCTGACCTCTCTTCGCCTCACTCGCCGGCCAGTCTCCACCACATCGACCGCAGGGCTGGCAGCGGGAGAAGGGGCTGCTTGAGCCAAGTTCACAGCTGCCCTGCCCTGGCAGGTGTGGGGGTGATGTCCCCAGCTTGGCCTTGTCAGAGCAGCCACAGCACCAGCATCAGCATCTCATCGGGCAAACGATGAAGGGGGGGGGGGGGCTTTGATTCGCATGCCTGAGGAACTGTACGCAGAATATGGCACAAAGCAAGAATAGCAGTACAATGGTACCTCGGGTTAAGAACTTAATTCGTTCCGGAGGTCCGTTCTTAACCTGAAGCACCACTTTAGCTAATGGGGCCTCCTGCTGCTGCCATGCAGCCACCATGCGATTTCTGTTCTCATCTTGAAGCAAAGTTCTTAACAAGGTACTATTTCTGGGTTAGCGGAGTCTGTAACCTGAAGCATCTGTAACCTGAAGCGTCTGTAACCCGAGGTACCACTGTATATCTTTCTTAATGAAAACACACAGATTGCCCAGGAAAAGAGCAGAGGGCCTAATCCTGCCAGAACTATGGATCCATTCTGGCCAGCTTCTTCCACTTAGCCGATGGGCTTTCCAGAGGGGCTGTACCACATTGCCTGGCGGTCACAATGTCGAACTAGAGACCTGGGTTCAAATCCCCACTCAGCCATGAAGCTCACTGGGTCACCTTGGGGCAGTCGCTTTCCTCTCAGCCTGGCCTACCTCACAAGATTGTTGTGGGGATTAAACGAGGAAGGGAGAAAACCACGTGTGCTCCCTTGCGCTCCTTGGAGGCTGGGAAGTGCAATACAATTAATTTCAAAAAAACAATTAAATATTTGATCAGCTTTTTTGGCAGAAGCAGATGCTCTCAACTGGGTTGCTGTGGACCAGAAGGATGCGAGCAAAGGGGAGCGCCGGGGGGGGGGGGGCTGGGGTTGCGGGAGAGGCACATTCCCCCTCCCCGTGGCGCCAAAGAGGATGCAAATGAAAGGCGCTGAATGATGTCTGCCGAGACGCTTCATTTGGGTGATGCATTTGAAAGGGGCTAATTAGAATGCTATTAATATTTATGGGGCCTTATGCGAATGCCGATAGTCGCTATTGGGAGGTATTAAGCCTTATCGCCTTGGCCAGGAGTTCGCAGGGTAACGGGAGGCAAATTTAATTGTTCCGGGGGGGGGGGGGCGGACCCTGATAACTCCAGCACAAAGCCACCGGCAGCCAGCGCAGGGGGATCAGCCGGCCAAGTGGGTTTTACGGCGGGCTCATCAGGCGTCTTTGGGAATTAATTAGCCGGATCACCCGCCAGCGGGCGGCAGGGGTGGTCTTCCCAACCCCTCCGACAGGCCCATTTGGGGAGGACCCAGAAGATCCACCTTCCACCCACGCTTAGTGACCCGCCTGCCGGCTGCGCTTCAGGCCCCAGGCGTGGGGAGGCACCGCTTCGAGGGGGGGGGGGTCCTGGGTGCTGGAAGGAACCCTCTTTTGGAGAGCCTGCCGGTCAGAGGAGGAGTCCTGGGGCTGGTGGGCTCAGGGGTCAGACTGGGCACAAAGCAGCGCCCCAGGTTCCTCCGAGGTCAACCCCCAGGTCTGCCCATAAACCTCCTCAAATCAAGTAAATAATTTCCCAGTAGTGATGTATGGAAGTGAGAGCTGGACCATAAAGAAGACTGATCGCCGAAGAATGGATGCTTTTGAAGTCTGGTGCTGGAGGAGACTCTTGAGAGTCCCATGGACTGCAAGAAGATCCAACCTCTCCATTCTGAAGGAAATCAGCCCTGAGTGCTCACTGGAAGGACAGATCCTGAAGCTGAGGCGCCAAGACTTTGGCCATCTCATGAGAAGAGAAGACTCCCTGGAAAAGACCCTGATGTTGGGAGAGATGGAGGGCACAAGGAGAAGGGGACGGCAGAGGACAAGATGGTGGGACAGTGTTCTTGAAGCTACCAGCATGAGTTTGACCAAACTGCAGGAGACAGTGGAAGACAGGAGGGCCTGGCGTGCTCCGGTCCAGGGGGTCACGAAGAGTCGGACACGACTAAACGACTAAACAACAACAACTAAAAGTAGAAATAATCAGAATATTGAAATTGAAAGGACAGGTAATTTTCTGAGCACTTGGGATCAAAGGAAAGTAATTTAAAACAACTGTTGTTGAAGCGTTTCGTTCCGAAGCTGCTAGCTAGGCAGAGCCAGACAGAGGATGATGACCGGGGGGTGTCCTTCCTGCCCCCGATCCCGACATAAATCCTGGCTGCGCCCATGGTCCCATGGAAGGTGGTTGTCTGTCCTTCAGAGGTTGGCTGGCCAGGGGTTCTGCAGCTGTGATTGGGCTAGATGGCCTTTGGGGGTCCCTTCCCCCTTTACAGCTGTGTTTCCAGCAGGGGCTCATGAAATCCACCCGCGCAAAGCCCACCTCCTCCTCTGGGTGCTGCTTAACTCCCCCCCCCCCCGCTGCATCCCTGGCTCCCCAGCCTTGCCTCGTTAATGCTCTGATAATCCATAACGAGGTCCCTCTTCACATGCTTGCTGACCTCACGATGGAGCAAAGTTCGCATCCATTTTCCTTCCCCTCATTTGTCTGTAAACCATGAAGAAAAATCGCCACCGTCTTCCCGCATCAGGCAGCCACTTTGATGTATGGCTGTAATAAAAAGCCCATTTTCAGCTGCCTGCCTGCCTGCCTGCCTGGTCGGAGGGGCAGAGAGCCGCAACAAGAGCCCTTGGATGGTATGGAGGAGAAGGGGCAATCACGGGCAGGGCTGCGTGTGCCCACTCTGGTGTGGCAGAAGGGCTGACAAGACGCAGGAGGTGACTGGGCAGAGAGAGCCCAGATTCTGGAGAAGCTCAGCTTTAAGAGCAGAACAGGCTCCCAGTCCTCATGAAGGAAAATGTATGCTTAGAAGTGTGTGGGCAAGGACTGTGGAAAACTTAGGAGCCAGAGGGATGTCTGAATAAAGTTTGTTTGTGTGTATAATAATAATAATTAATAATAATAATAATAATAATAATAATAATAATAATTATAATGGGTCTTTGGTTGCTATGCCCCTTCTGGGGAAATCCAGCCAGATAGGCAGGGCATAAATAATAGAATAATAATTATTATTACATCTTATGTCCAAGAAAACCCAAACAAATTATGCAGACCAAGAGAGAACCGTGAAAATGTGCCTGATCAGTGCAGGTGGACATTGGAGCTTGTAGACAGTATTGGTTTATTTATTTAATGAAATTTATATACCACTTGATTGTAGGAAAAAACCTCAAACAAAAAAAAGGTAAAATAATAAAATCATCGGTAATAATGTATCATTTAGAACATACGAAAAGTTAAAACCACAAAAGAATAAACCAGCAACAAAGTACAACTCATGCAAACTTTCTGAACATCTGGGCAGGCTTGTCTAAATGTCTTCAGCAGGCGGTGAAAATAATACAGCGAAGATGCCGGCCTGATAACCAAGAGGCAGGGAGTTCCAAAGTGTCGGTGCTGCCACACTAAATGATCCGAGTTCTTAGAAATGCGGTGCAGAGATTAAGTATTACCTGTAAAAGGAGACCCAGTGAAGCTGAACGTTGGAAGATTCCCGAGAGAGAAAAGAAAGTCCTTCTTAATGCAGGGCAGTGTTAAACTATGGAACTCCCTGCCACAGGAGGCAGTGGCAGCCACCAAGCTGGAAAGCTTTCAAAGAGGATTGGACAAATTCGAGGAGGAGGCGAGGGCGGTATCCCAAGATGCATAGGGCTTTGTGCTGCAAAACCAGCGCCTTGAACTTAGCCCAGTAGCTGACTGGCAGCCAGCTAATTGATAGCATTAAACATGTTTCATTTACAAACAACAGCCCACAACTAATCACTCACCGAACATTTTTACTAATAACAATTGGGCAAGATCTAGGAGAAAGAGGGGAAGAACCATCAATCTCAAAAGTACATGTTTTATTTGTTGTTTTAAATGAATTGTTTATTACCCAAAATAAAGTGGTAAAAAATAATAATGAGATTGCAGTGATTGAGTGGGTGTCTTTAGCCCAGGGCCAAATTGGACATTAGGAATTGTGGGAACAGTTTTTAGGAATAAGCAGCAGGGGCACCCAGTGGCGAAGCCTATGCCAGTGCCAACCGGCACCAAAGGGACCTCAGCCCCCAGAGCAGGGGTTGGCAACCTGTGGACCGTGGGCCACAAGCAGCCCATGGGGGTCGTTTAAACGGCCCATGAACTTCCCCCGAACCGAGCTGCCTGCTTGGTGAGTGCCCGTGGGCTGCGCTAAACCGGCGCAGCATGGAGCAGGTACTCGCTTCCGCGGTGCTGGAAATCGCGTCTGTGCATGCGCAGATGCCGGAAATCACATCTGTGCAGACGCGATTTGGCCCAAGGAGTGATCTCTGTGGGAGTGAAGCGGCCCGGGCAAGGTAAACCTCGCTGACCCCTGCCCTAGAACATGGGTTGGCAAACTAAGGCCCGGGGGCTGGATCTAGCCCAATCGCCTTCTCAATCCGGCCCATGGACAGTCTGGGAATCAGCGCGGTTTCACATGAGTAGAATGTGCCCTTTTATTTAAAATGCATCTCTGGGTGCATCGTTCTGCCCAGACACTGAGATCCAGCGCCGAGGGCCTTCTGGCGGTTCCCTCGCTGTGAGAAGCCAAGTTACAGGGAACCAGGCAGAGGGCCTTCTGGGTGGTGGCACCTGCCCTGTGGAACGCCCTCCCACCAGATGTCAAAGAGAACAACAACTACCAGACTTTTAGAAGACTTCTGAAGGCAGCCCTGTTTAGGGAAGCTTTTAATGTTTGATGCATTACTGTATTTTAATATTTTGTTGGAAGCCGCCCAGAGTGGCTGGGGAAACCCAGCCAGATGGGCGGGGTAGAAATTTATTATTATTTTTATTATTATTATTATTATTATTATTATTATTATATTTCTGGGGTCTGTCTGGTGTTCTTACAGGAGTAGAATGTGTGCTTTTATTTAAAAGGCATCTCTGTGTTATTTGTGGGGCAACAGGAATTAGTTCATTCCCACCCCTTCAAAATATAGTCAGGCCCCCCACAACGTCTGAGGGACAGTGGGCCGGCCCCCTGCTGAAAAGGTTTGCTGACCCCTGCCCTAGAAGATTACACAACCTTTTGGGTCCCTTCCAACTCTGCAAGTCCATGATTCTATGGCTTCCTCCTCTTGCTCAAAATGCACTGAGAGGCATCTGTACAGACTCGCCCCAGCCCCTTTCCTGCCCTCCTGGTGCCTCCACAGAGGAAGCTGCCATCGTCTGCCAAGGGGGCATGTGTTGTGGCGAGGGGCCTGGCTTGCACTAGGGGTGGGTGGGTGGGCTTCCTGCTGGGGGAGGCCTTGCTACAGATTCACATTTAATGCGGCTGGCACAGCCGGAGGCCATTCCTTGGTTTCTGGTAGCCCAGCTATCACGGATAAATATAGATGCACAGAAGGAGCAAGGGGCTGGCAGGTCCATTACCCCCCTCCAGGCAGGCAGAGCATCCGTTACCTTACTGTAACAGGGGTAATAATAATAATAATAATTTATTATTTATACCCCGCCCATCTGCCTGGGTTTCCCCAGCCACTCTGGGCAGCTTCCAACAGAATATTAAAATACAATGGTCTGTTAAACATTAAAAGCTTCCCTAAAGAGGGATGCCTTCAGATGTCTTCTAAAAGTCTGGTAGTTGTTCTCTTTGACATCTGGTGGGAGGGTGTTCCACAGGGCGGGTGCCACTACCAAGAAGGCCCTCTGCCTGCTTCCCTGTAACTTGGCTTCTTGCAGTGAGGGAACCGCCAGAAGGCCCTTGGCGCTGGACCTCAGTGTCCGGGTAGAATGACGGGGGTGGAGACACTCCTTCAGGTATACTGGACCGAGGCCGTTTAGGGCTTTCAAGGTCAGCACCAACACTTTGAATTGTGCTCGGAAATGCACCGGGAGCCAATGTAGGTCTTTCAAGACCGGTGTTATGTGGTCTTGGCGGCCGCTCCCAGTCACCAGTCTAGCTGCTGCATTCTGGATTAGTTGTAGTTTCCGGGTCACCTTCAAAGGTAGCCCCACGTAGAGCGCATTGCAGTAGTCCAAGCGGGAGATAACTAGAGCATGCACCACTCTGGCCAGACAGTCTGCAGGCAGGGAGGGTCTCATCCTGCGTACCAGATGGAGCTGGTTGGCAGCTGCCCTGGACACAGAATTGACCTACACCTCCATGGACAGCTGTGAGTCCAAACTGACTCCCAGGCTGCGCACCTGGTCCTTCAGGGTCTGCAGGTGGCCCCTGGGTGTGTCTGCCTGCACTGATTCTGACCCACCACTTAGCGGCAGAGGCTTTTGTGCTGAGTTTGGCAGCGGATGGAGACGGGTGGGATGGCTGTGCTGTGGAGTCTTAAGAGGCACCAGAAACACCACCTCCAGATGGAGGTGAAGGAGGCAGGAGAGAGTCCAGGCCACCAGTTGCTAAAGAGGCAAGGGCCATGGGTCCAGCCCCCATTGGTAGAGTTGGCAGCAGCTGATGCCTGAAACCCTGGGAAGTCGCTGCCAGTCAGTGTTGACAGTAGAGACCTAGACAGCCCAAAGGTCTGACTCTGTATAAGGCAGCTGCCTCCCATGTAAGTTTTGCAGGAGTGCTCCATGGCCTTTGGTGCTATTTCCACCAGCCCAGCTTGCCAGGTTGCCCAGAAGCGAAGTGAAGGAATTTTGCCTCTGCCCCAAATATCCCCTTCTAAAAGGCAGAGAATTTGGCAGGCGGGGGAGAGAGTATGGGTTAGGGGGCTGCTCCTGGGCTTGCAAAGATCCACCTGATTTCTAGGCTGAGCCTGAGGGCCTAAACTGAAGACACCCATGCTCTGGGTTTGTAAGGAGCTGGGTCTAGGCGGATGGTCAGGGGAGAAAAGGATGGAAGATGCCTAGCCCCTTCAATAAGGCTGCATTGCAAAGCAGAGTTTCAGGCTGGTTGAATCGGTGCAACATTCCCCACACCAAATCCCCATGCCAGGTAAAGCTGCATTGGTGGAATTCCTTCCTGTCGTGACAATGCTGAAGGGATCCAAAGGCAGCTCCACCTGCAATAACCAAGGTATGTATGTGTGTGGCACTGCTGCCCTCTAGTGGACTCAGGCAGAAGTGGCCAGAGACCAGGGGATCTTGAACTCTGCAAGTGATGCTCTGCCAGCTGATGTGGCGTCCTTGTCACAGAAGGGGCTTTTGGGGCATAAATGTCAACTTTCAGATTTGAAAATAAGGGATCAGCAGCCTCGAAAATAAGGGACCAGCAGCCTCACCTGTCCTGGGGACAGTCTACAGGATATCTAACAATCCGGGTTAGCAGCGGGAAACGGCACTGGAATAAGGGAATTTCCCACAAAAAAAGGGAAGGTTGACAGCTATGTTTTGGGGACAGGCAAGATGTGGCACCTGAGACCCTGATGGTCTCTCCTCCCCACCCATTTCTTAAAAACAACAACAACAACACCAAAATATGGCTTGGAGTAGCCTTTGATTGTCTAACTGTCGTTAAAATCCACCCAACTTGGTGGTCATCATTACACCTGGTAGTAGCATATTAACTACATGCAACATGTGAAGATGTCCTTCCTGTTCCCTTTCCTGAATCTGCCGCTCTCCAGCTTTGCTGCGTGACCCCACTGGCTTCCAGTATTATGCATAGAGGGTCAGGAGGAGGCAGTGAGCATACCCCAGTGGGCATGTGCATGTGCGCACACAGGTGTGTTCACTGGGTGGCCTGTCTGCATAGCATTGAATGCAAAAGCTGCCTCTCACCTGCTAGGAAGACACCTGTATGGCGGAGCATCTGAAACATAGCTCAAGGCTGCCACCTGCTGACCAAAGGGGACACAACCTCCTTGGCTGCCCAGATTTTCCCACTGTATGTGAAAGTGTGGTCTCGTCCACGCAACAGACCGAAAACACTTTTGTAGCACTTCAGTTAGTCACAGATTCTCCCAAAGAATGCCAGGAACTGTAATTTACCCCTGAGAGATGTGGGATGTAATCCACTGGGAGCAGTCAAGTACAACATTCCTCGTTTTGCTAGAGTGGACATGCAAGGGAATGTTTGGTCCAGCCAGTCAGAACTTCCTGTTCCTCCTGGCCTGGAGCATCCTTCCTCTTGCATGTGACTAGCAGGTGGGCGTGACCTTTCCAGACCTGGTAAAAGGCGAAGTCACACGGCCACCTTTCTCTTTTTGACCCCCCAGCCAAGAGAGGACAAAGGGACTGTCTTCTTATGAGATAGTTTCCAGGTATATGTTACTTTTCTAAGCTAAGTCTGCCTTCTGGGATCCTATTGTGAACAGAATGATGTGTGAGTAAGCCTTTTTATACTTTTATAGAAGACTGTGTCATGTCTTATCTTTTATGAGGGAATAAGGGGAAAATACCAGAACAGTTATTATAGAGGCTTTAGCGAGCCTGAGCAAACGTATCCACTGCAAGTTTAAAAAGGGGAATGTTACTCTGCTTAATTGTGAACTTGTTAACACAAGTTGGAAAGGCTATTATCAGACAATATATCCTCTCCTGCATCCCTGAACATTCCCATAATCCTGAGGCTTGTTGGCTCATGCTGGAAGGAAGCATCCTTTGACCTGATGCCCCTCCATTGCCCATGCTTGGCAACTTGTAGCTGAATCTGTGGCTAAGCTTCAGGTAGGAGCAGACCTGCCTCTGGGGTGGGTGTTTCGTACGTGCATCTCACCCCTCAATGCTGCAGTGATGAATAAGTGTGTGTGAATGGAGCTTGAGAGTGCTTGCACATCTGATGCAACGACCTCCTCTTTTTGTGTGCGTTTCCAATGCCTCTTGGAGGTTAAGTTTGAAAAAAGGCTGCTTTAACCTGTGGGACTGTGGCTTGTTCTTCCAGTGGAAACTTCTTTCCCAATTCCTGCAAAGGGGGTGTGCAGTCGTTTCACAGAACCATGGAATGGCAAGGGACCCTAAAGAGCCCTCTGGCCCAAACCCCTGCAATGAAGCAATCACACTAATTTGTCACACCGAAATCTTGCACCTGGCTTTCCTTTGCAGCCGTGGCCTCTTTCGCAAGGATTCCCACAAAGGCAGTGGGGGCACACCTGGCAGTGGCAGCCCCCCCCCCGCAGAGTGAGTCTAGAGGGAAGGAGAGTCAGCTTGATGCCCCCAGAGGCTGCCAGGGTACCAGGGTGTGGATGATGTGGGGGCAGCAAGGAGTGGCTTGGAGGAACACAGCCAGGTGCCTCACCTCTAAAGGATGGGCTTTGTGCATAGGAGGCCACACCCATCACTGCAGCACTTCTCTGCGCCAGGGCAGTCACCATCATGCTGGCAGAGGCTCTTGGGAGCCACACAAGCAGAACCAGGAGGAACAGGTGGGCACTCTCCAGACTTGGCTGCAAGGGAGTGTGGGATGTGAAACACAAGAGCAGTCAAGTACAACATTCCTAGAGTGAACATGTTTACACATGGGGAGGAATGTTTGTCCAGCCAGCAGGTAAATTTCCTGTTTCCTCCTGGGCTGGGACAGACTTCCTCTGCATGTGACTAGAGGTGGGCGTGGCCTCACCTGTGCAGGTAACGACAAAAGCACAGGGCAGGGCTGCCATCTCTCTCTTTTTGACTACATGCATCGAAGAAGCAACCTCTGCTTAGCCAAAGATGCAGAGGGACTGTCTCCTTATGAGATAGTTTCCAGGTGTATGTTACTTTTCTAAGCTAAGTCTGCCTTCTGGGAGCCTATTGTGAACAGAATGATGTGTGAGTAAACCTTTTTATACTTTAATAGAAGACTGTGTTGTGTTTTATCTTTTATGAGGGAATAAGGGGAAAATACCAGAACAGTTGTTATAGAGGCTTTAGCGAGCCTGAGCAAATGCATCTGCTGTGAGTTTAAAAGGGGGAATGTTACTCTGCTAAATTGTGAGCTTGTTAACACAAGTTGGAAAAGGATATAATCAAACAATATATCCTATCCTGCATCCCTGAACATTCTCACAGAGAGGACAAGCCCAGTGTCATTAGGACCTTTAGGAAAGGAGAAGGTCCACCCCAGGGCCTGAAGCCAGCATGCCAGGTCAACCCCAGCATTCAGCACCAGGGCTGGATCTCAGCCTCCTCTCTGCTCCTCTTCCACCTTAGCCCAGTCCTGGGAACGCTGACTCTGCAAGGTGATAGCAGCAAGGACACAGTCTTCTCCTCGGCGTGTCAAAGAGCTTTACCCAGCAGCTCTAAGAAAGATTTGGGAGGGCTTCTGGGACCATTTCAGGTGGGTGCCTGGAGCTAGGCCAGACCTTGTTCCAGAGATGTTCTCAAAAGGAACAAGAAGGGGGAGCAAAGAGCACAAGATCCCCCCTTTTTGTGACCTTGCTATTGTGGGAGTTGAAAATTCCTGCTATTGCTATGTCACAATGTAGTGGTCATGTAGGATTGCTATGAGGAATTATGAAAAATGAAGCAAGCAATTGTGTCAGCGGTGAAAGCATCGCTTTGACTGGGTTTGGGTCACTGACATGATTTCTGATTGATCCCACAAGCCTCTGAATCTCTGCCCCATTTTCTCTATGCCTGACCGTCACGTATAAAGCATTCTACACAGACCAGTTGCTTACCAGGCCTCCTGGGTACATAAAAATAAGGAGATAGCTTTGAAGGAGGGAGATTTGATGTAACTTTTGTTAATCTTTAGGTAGATCTTAGGGCCAGGAACAGGGTTCACACTGAGGTGGTAAAATGCCTGTCTTTCCTTTCCTTACCTCCAGGGTTTGCTAAATGCATTCCTCCTTGGTTCCTGTTTATTTAGCCTGAACATGTATGCATGCGCAGATAGTAAATAGTTCTTTGTGGTTAAGAGGCTTCCTCTGATCTGACTTTGTCCCCACATGGGGATTTTTTAAATGCTCAGAGGAAATCTGATTGGTTCTTACAAATGCTGTGTTAAAGTTCTTTCCTTAATAAAAACTGCCTGGGCCAGGGAGTGGGATGCACACTTTCTCCCAGGGTCTTGCTGGTCAAGCCTCGTGTCTATTGTCTTAATCAGGGTCCAGTCCTTTCTTCCTAATTAATCAGGGTCCAGGGATGTGGGTGGCGCTGTGGTTTAAACCACAGAGCCTAGGACTTGCCGATCAGAAGGTCGGCAGTTTGAATCCCTGCGACGGGGTGAGCTCCCGTTGCTCGGTCCCAGCTCCTGCCCACCTAGCAGTTCAAAAGCACATCAAAGTGCAAGTAGATAAATAGGTACCGCTCTGGCGGGAAGGTAAACGGCGTTTCTGTGCGCTGCTCTGGTTCGCCAGAAGCGGCTTAGTCCTGCTGGCCACATGACCCGGAAGCTGTACGCCAGCTCCCTCGGCCAGTAAAGCGAGATGAGCGCCGCAAACCCAGAGTCAGCCACGACTGGACCTAATGGTCAGGGTTCCCTTTACCTTTACCTTTAGTCCTTCCTTTGCCTTCAGAATGCAACATCACAATGTATGCTTAGTAGAAAGAGGAGTGTGTTTTAGCTCTTGGTGTAAGTCAGAGCACATTGCGGTCCTTGAATCAAGATGCACCTTGCTTGACAACCGTCTCTTGAGTCTAACCCAGGCAGCTCAAACTCTGTCATTTCCCTAACACACACACACACACACCCTTTGTGTGCCATGGAGCTGGCTGAGTCACCCCCCCAAGGGCTTGCCAGGAGCCCCGCAGCACCACCCTGACCCCGCAGCCTCTCACCTTTCACGGGCTCCTTGCACACTTGACCACACTGGTTGCCGCAACACTTCTTGCCCCCTGGGCAGTCACAGTCCTTCTGGCAAGTCATCAGGCAATCGGCAGGGTCCGGAGGGGGGCAGAAGCCGGGCTTCTCTGCAAGAGATCAGCCAGGTGTCTGCGACGTCTTGGGTCATGGAGGGGATGGAGCCAACGAAGCATTTTGGTTTTCAAAAGCTGCGTCCCAAGGAACTCAAGGGGGCTGACACGACACTCCTCAAAAATGATATTTCAAAGGCATAAAGCCAGTCCTCAGATTGAGTAATAATTCCAGCACAGGGGGAGAAAGGCCATAGCTCAGTGATAGAGCACTTGCCTTGCATGCCAAGTGCCCTGGGTTCAAATTCCAATGGCATCTCCAGTAGGGCAAGGAGAGGCTCCCTGTCTAAGACCCAGAAGAATGAACGGTCTGATTCATTGCAAAGTATTCTCCTACGTTCTCAAAAAACGACAACCCAAAAGGCCTTTTTGATCAACCGCGTCCTCACCAAATGCGTGGAACCAGATGACGACGACATTTTAATTTATTGCCACCCACCCTAAGGTCCCAGGCTGGGTTGCGACAATTTAAAATTGCACATTAAAGCTTTCAATTACTAAAAGAAAATATAACGGCAAAAAATAGGGTGGGTCCTGAAAGATACATCTCAGGTGTCAGCCATCCACTGTGGAGACAGAGAGCAGCCTCAGTCGCCCTCCCGGCATCTGCCCAGAGACCCACCTGGGCCCTTGCAGGCCAGCTGGCATTCCTCTTCGGTGGGGAAGTTATTCAGGTTTCCCCTGCAGTTGCCATAGTCAAAAGGGGTGCACTCTCTGCTGGTGGAGTTGAAGTAGAACCTTTGGACGTAGGTGTTGCAGGGACCTGGCTTCTGGGGAAGCTGGCAGATATCTGCAGCCAGAAAGCAGAAGGGGCCTTGTGTTTTGAGCTGCGAGAAAGAATGAAAGGGGTGGGGTCTGGGGGGGGGGAACACTGTTGGATATGCACAAATCAGTTTGCAGGTTCTGGGATGAAATAAAGCCTAGTTTCGCCCCTACGCACTGCATAAGTGTTGGTGCTGACCTTGAAAGCCCTAAACGGCCTCAAAGGCCCAGTATACATGAAGGAGCGTCTCCACCCCCATCCTTCTGCCCGGACACTGAGGTCCAGCTCTGAGGGCCTTCTGGCGGTTCCCTCCCTGTGAGAAGCCAAGTTACAGGAACCAGGCAGAGGGCCTTCTCGGTGGCGGCGCCCGCCCTGTGGAACGCCCTCCCACCAGATGTCAAAGAGAAAAACAACTACCAGACTTTTAGAAGACATCTGAAGGCAGCCCTCTTTAGGGAAGCTTTTAATGTTTAACAGAATATTTTATTTTAATATTTTGTTGGAAGCCGCCCAGAGTGGCTGGGGAAGCCCTGCCAGATGGGCAGGGTATAAATAATAAATTATTATTATTATTAGAACTTAAGAGCAGCCTGCTGGATCAGGCCCATTTGGTCCCGCCCATTTGGCCAACTAGATGCCCTAGCCCTCTCCACTGTGACTGTCCAATCCTCTTTTAAAACCGTCCACCTTGGTGGCCATCCCTGCCTCCAGTGGGAGGGAGTTCCACTGTCTAACTCTGTGCTGTGTGACGAAGGACTTTCTTTTCTCTGTCCCGAATCTCCTAACATTCAGCTTCACTGGAGGCCCGCAAAATCTAATGTCATGTGCTGTATTTCTGACTCGAGGTAGAGGCAGGAGGAAGAAACAGGAGGCCACCGGCGATGGCAAGAGAGCATATCCCCACAGGGTCTGCCCCCACCCTAGTTTCCTAATCACTGTACCCCGACTTTTCTTTCCATGAAGCCTCTTCTCTCTGCCCCTAGGGGTTGGGACACCCTTTCCCCATGTCCTGCAGAGAGAGAGAGAGAGGGAGCCCAAATAATAATAATAATAATAATAATAATAATAATAATAATAATTTTTATTTATACCCCATCCTCCCTGGATAGAGCCGCGCTCAGGGCAGCTAACACCAGTAAAATTACAGTAAAAACATAATAGGAAAAAAACCCCAATTGAAAATACAGTTTAAAATGCAATTTAAAATGCAGTCTCATTTTCAAAGTAGCCCATAGATCAAGACCATACGGGGAGGGAAACATAAGGGTCAGACTCAGTCCAAACCAAAGGCCAGGTGGAACAGCTCTGTCTTGCAGGCCCTGCGGTAAGATGTCAAGTCCGGCAGGGCCCTAGTCTCTTGGGACAGAACGTTCCACCACATCGGGGCCAGTACTGAAAAGGCCCTGGCCCTAGTTGAGACCAATCTAACCACCTTGCGACTTGGGACCTCCAAGGTGCTGTCATTTGTGGAACTTAAGGTCCTCCGCGGGGCATACCAGGAGAGGTGGTCCCGTAGGTACATGGGTCCTAGGCCGCATAGGGCTTTAAAGGTTAAAACCAGCACCTTCAACCTGACCCTGTACTCCACCGGGAGCCAGTGCAGTTGGTAAAGCACTGGATGAATGTGATCCTGCGGCAAGGACCAAGTGCTTACCTGGGTCCCTGCAGGTCTCCTCACATTCCACCAGCGTTGCAAACCGGTTGGCGTTGCCCTTGTGGCCTCTGTAGGTGAACGGGTAGCAGCCTGCTCCAAGGCGGCTGTAGTGAAACAGGTGGATGGAGTGGTCCCCCTCTCCGGGATTGCTGGGCAGCCGGCAGATATCTGGAGCCACAGAACAAAGAGAGATGGGAGGGAGAAATGGAGCTGGGACTTGTAGGCAGGAAAAAAGGCACGTCAAGAGCATCCTGGCTGGGAATCCTGGGAAAACTTGCTCCCGCCTTGCAGGCTTTCCCCAACTGGCCTGGGAGGGCCCGGACTGACTCCAGCTGCAAAAGCTAGGGCTGCTGAACAGACTCTCGGGCTGAGGTGTTGTTTGGGGTTTTTTGTTGCAGGCTTGGGGGGGGGGGGTTTGCTGCTATTTATTTATTTTTTTGCATCTTTATTTGAGACCTTGTTGTGATTTATGTGGAAATTGTTCACTTTGCTTGTGTATTTTTTAATGCTTTATTTGTTATTTATGTGGGAATGTTCAGGGAGGCAGGAGAGGATATATTGTTTAATTACAGTGGTACCTCTGGTTGCGAACGGGATCCGTTCCAGAGGCCCGTTCGCAACATGAAAGGAACGCAACCCGCAGCGACGCGTCTGCGCACACGCAGGTTGTGACTCGCCGCTTCTACGCATGATGTAATTTTGCGCTTCTGCGCATGCGCGAGCAGCAAAACCCGGAAGTAACCGTTTCCAGTACTTCCGTGTCGCCGCAGGATGCAACCTGAAAAAACGTAAGATGAAGCGGATGTAACACGAGGTATGACTGTATATCCTTTCCAACTTGTGTTAACAAGTTCTATAATTTAGCAGAGTAACATTCCCCTTTTTTAAACTTGTGCAGCGGATAGCGTTTATGCCAGGCTTGCATAAGCCTCTAAAATAAGTTACCTGGTAATTCCCCTTTTATTCCCTCATGAAAAGAATAGACACGACACAGTCTTCTATAAAAGTATAAAAAGTTTACTCACTCACTCACTCATTCTTTTCACAGATGGATCCCAGAAGGCAGACTTAAGTTACAAAAGTAATATACACCTGGAAACTATTCCATAAGGAGACAGTACCTTTGTCCTCTCTTGGCTGGGCATCTTAGGCTAAGCAAATGTTGCTTCTTCGACGAATGGAATCAGTGAAAGAGAGAGAGATGGCGGCTTCCGCTGAGGTATTTTGTTACCTGCACAGGTGAGGCCACACCCACCCCTAGTCACATGCAGAGGAAGTCTGTCCCAGCTCAGGAGGAAACAGGAAGTTCTGACTGGCTGGTCCAGACACCCTCTTTTTATGTCCACTCTAGGGATGTTGTATTTGACTGCTTTGTGTTTCACATCCCACACTTTAGAACTACAGTCATACCTCGGGTTAAAGTCGCTTCAGGTTGAGCGTTTTCAGGTTGCATTCCATGGTGACACAGAAGTAACAGAACAGGTTACTTCCGGGTTTCGCCGCCTGCGCATGCGCAGACACTCAAAATGACATCACGTGCTTGCACAGAAGCGGTGAATCGCGACCCGCGCATGCACAGACACAAGTTGCGTTCTGCTCAGGATGTGAACGGGGCTCCAGAACGGATCCCGTTCACATCCAGAGGTACCACTGTACTTTTCTTATGTTGCCAATTATGTATTTTTTCATGTTGCAAGCCGCCTTGAACATGGCTTGAACTGTGCAATAGTGGCATACAAATAAAAATATGTATGTATGCTTGTATCCTAGGAGCTGCTCAGCCGAACATTCGTTCTTGCCCTGGGAGGTGGGTGGGTGACCTTTGGGCACAAGGTGGGAAGATTAGCCAAGGCCACAATGTGTGGGGCAGCTGCTGCTCCCCAGTTTGCCGCTGTCCTTGTAGGAATCCCTGCCCCCACCCCAAGAATAGCCTTAGCCTTCAGCTTCCCCTATAGAGAATGGAGCAAGTTCACCCACCTCCCAGCCTTCGGGTGGGCTGTGTCTACGTGGGGCAAACCCTTAAGGCCACTTAATAGCTTGCTGTGGGGGGGGGGGTGTCTTGCAGCTGCATACGAGGCAGGATTAAACAATTTAAAATCTGATGGTTTTGGTTTTCATTTATGTATAGTATAGAGGTTTTCTTTTCCTTTTTTCTTTTTGTTTGTCAGTTTTTGGTATGCATGTTCATGGCTTTTTGTATTTTTGTGCAATCTTCAAATACGGAAAAGTGTTAAAAATAAATAAACAGTTTGAAATTGTAATGACAATAGAAACCATAAACGGAACAAGAGAGCAATCACAAACGCTAATAAAATAAGTAAATCTAAACATGGGTTTAGTGAGCAAAGTGACCCTTTTGCTCTAGGAACAGAGGAAGCTGCCAAGCCATTGGTCCATCTACTTCAGTGTTGTCTACACTGACTGGCAGAATTGTTTCTCTAGGATTTCAGGCAGGCATCTCTCGCAGTCTTACCTGGGGATGCCAGCATGGATCTCACCTGGGCCCAATGCTCTGCCACTGTTCCTTGGCTTTGGCTTTTGCCCGGTTAGAGTGGAAGCAGGTTATTTCAGGGGACAATATCTGATAAAGCCACTTCCTCCAACAAAAGGAGGTGGGGTTGCGGGCTTCACGCTCCCACTAGCCTCCGGTGGCTGGCACTCAGCCTCCGCATGATTGAGGGAATCCCCGGCCGTGTTATCCCCTAGACGGCCAATCAGCTGGCTCGGGGGGGCATGGCCTGCCCTATTGCCGGGGATCTCCCACTTTTGCCGCCTCCAGCTGTTCCTGTTTCCCACCCTCCCGCTCTTTAAGGTTCTCGTTCCCTGACCTTGCTATGGACTTGGTTGAGGTGCCTGGTAGGAATTTTCCCACTTGGCAAATTGGCACCAGCCCCTTGGTTTTCGCCTCCCTCGTAGAAAATCGTCACAACTTTCTGGGTATTGGCGGTTAGGCATTGGTATTGCTCTGTAGATGGAAGAGGGGAGGAAGCGCCATCACCTGCCCCACATATTGAAGGGTAGTCCAGTAAAGGATTCTGGGGGGTGTGGCCCTGTCCGAAGCCTGGGGAGGTGAGGGCCTAAGGCACGCCCCCTAACGGTGACCCCAGGGGCGTTCCTAGTTGATGTGCATCAGCAGGACTCCCCTACTGGTGGTTAACCCTTCCCGGACTTTGAGAAGCCGGTCTGAAGCCGGATATAGTGAGTTAGGACCAATGCCTAAGCCAATACTGCTCATCACCTGTAACCAATAACGTTGTGGCCTTATTTAGCCCATTAACCTTAATAATTGTGTCATGTGTCTTTATTTCCTGGGCAGGGGGGGTGGTGGAACTTGCCACGCAATGAACCCACGACAAGAATCTTGGGCCAAGGGACTCTTTTGCCCACCTGTCGGGTGGGCGGCATGTAAATATTAAAATCATTATTATCATTACCCGGCTTCTTGCAGGCGTGCTCACATTCCGAGAGAGATTCAAACCGGTTCTCATTGCCCTCACAGCCTCCATAAACGAACACTTCGCAGGTTTTAGTGGCGGGGTTGTAATAGTACCTGGGCATGGCTGCCTTGCAGGGGCCTGTCTCCTTCGGCAGCTTGCAGATATCTGGAAGGATGTGAGAGGGTCAGGCAGGAGGGTTGAAGTTGCTTGGGCAAGAGTACTGGGAAATAATTCATAATGAACGGAAAAAAAATGTTTAAAAGTACTTTTCCAAAAAAACCAGAGTCCTTTTTGTTGGGGATAATTCAGACTGAAATTCCCAGGTGTCAGAAAAGGTTATTTATGTATGCCCTTACTATGGCCCGCATTTTGTTAGCCCCCAAATGGAAATTGAGCAAAGTCCCGACTAAAGAAAGGACGCCAGTATCGCTGTGATCTAAACCACAGAGCCTCGGGCTTGCTGATCAGAAGGTTGGTGGTTCGAATCCCCGCCACGGGGTGAGCTCCCGTTGCTCGGTCCCAGCTCCTGCCAACCTAGCAGTTCAGAAGCACGTCAAAGTGCAAGTAGATAAATAGGTACTGCTCCAGTGGGAAGGTAAACGGCGTTTCCGTGCGCTGCTCTGGTTCGCCAGAAGCGGCTTAGTCATGCTGGCCACATGACCCGGAAGCTGTACTCCGGCTCCCTCGGCCAATAAAGCAAGATGAGCGCCGCAACCCCAGAGTCGGTCACGACTGGACCTTACGGTCAGGGGTCCCTTTACCTTTACCTGACTAAAGAAGAATGCAACTGAAACAGTTGAAATATGCCCAGCTTGCGGACCTAACATATAGAATAAGAGAACAAGAAGAACACATGTTTAAAGAAGACTGGAAAATGCTTATTGAGTATGTGGAGGAATATTGTGTTTATTTGAAAACGTGGTCAGCATAAAGATAAATTCAGCAGTGTAAATAAGTTTTGATGGATTTAATAATGGAATACTGAGTGGTTTAGTTTATATAAAATATGCTTCTATGGGGGGGGGATGATGGCCACCAACTTGGCTGGCTTTAAAACAGGATTGGGCCAAATCATGGAGGAGGAGAGGACTGTCAAAAGCTACTAGCCGCAGTGGCTACAATCTGCTTCCGCAGCTGGGGACAGAAATGCTTCTGAAGACCAGTTGCTGGAAACCACCGAGAGAGAGAGAGAGAGAGAGAGAGAGGGGGGGGGCTCTTGCATCTGGGTCCTGCTTGCAGGTTTCCCAAAGGAGGCACCTGGCTGCCCAGCCTGGACTGGATGAGCCACTGGCCTGAGCAGTGGCAGACGAAGATGGCGGATTATGCGGAACTAGCAAAACTGACCTGCAAGACCCAAAAGGAGGAAACAAAATTCCAAAGAGATTGGAGTAAATTTATGGACTGGCAGGACCGAAACAAATCTTACGACGTAGATTGGACTGGATATAATAAGTAAGAAACTGTGGAAAGGTGACTGAAGCAAGAAAATGTTGAAGGGAAGGAGGGAAGTCAGTGCTTGGCAGAGTGTTGGGAAAGAATGTGGGTAAATGACTGTTGAATATCATTATACTTTGTTTGTTGGTATTAAATGAAAAACCAATAAAAAGCATTAAAAAAGAAAAGAAAAGAGGAGCCCCTGGCCTGATCCCGAAGGCCTCTTCTCATGTTCCTAGGGTGCTCAGTCTCACACTGGTGGCGCCACCAACCCCACTCTATTCTTCTGCTTTTAAATCATTTTAACAGATTTTAGTACTGTTATCTGCTCTTGCTGTAACCCAGACCTGAGACCTTATAATGAGAAGGACTTAAGAAATTAAAGTAAAAGCAACAAAAGCAGAAATAATAGCGGCAATGATAAGGTGGTCTGCCCCGAGCGCATTTAAAGTAGGAAACCAAAATATTTCCTTTTGTGAAACGCTAAGTGGGTTGCGGATTCTGGGCAAGGACTGCAGATTTCCAGGGCTGCCCCAGGAGGTTGGCTGTGCATTGATGCAGCTTGTATCACCAGCAAATGTCATAGGATCATAGGATCTCAGAGCTGTAGAGTTGTAAGGGACCTCCGAGGGTCATCTAGTCCAACCCCCCCTGCAATGCAGGACTCACAGCTAAAGAGGCCCTGACCGATGACCACCTGTCCTCTGCACAATGCTCCCCCCTTTGTCAATAATAATAATAATAATAATAATAATAATAATAATAATAATATATTATTTATACCCCACCCATCTCCTCTGCTCCCCTTCCTTGGTCTGACCTGGGTTGCGGCATCTCCAAATGCATTCCATCTGGGTCTCAAACTGGTTGTCGTTCCCTCCGCAGCCTCCATAAATAAACATCTCGCAAGTCTTGTTTTGTGGGTTGTAATAGAATTTGGGGAAGAGGGCCAAGCAGGGGCCAGAATCCACAGGGAGCTTGCAGATATCTGTGGGTGCAGAACATAGAGGGGGGACAAAACAGAGGGACTCTCAGACATCCCCACAGAAATGAACTGGTGCCAAAAGCCAAATCCTGCACATTGCAGAAGTGAGTGTGCCTGGAATGTGTGGCGCACTCTGGAGCCAGAATCTCTGGTCCCCCACTGACTCAACAAATTTGGCAAGCTGGCATTTCTATACCACTTGGAAAGAGAGGGGCTTTTCGGTTGCCCCCAATGAAGTTAAAAGAACCACCAAACAACAGGGAGTATTTACAGCTAGAGAGAGACAGTGTGGCACAGTGGTTAAAGTGGTTAGACTAGGACCTGGGAGACACCAGCGCTCAAATCCCCACTCAGCCATGAAGCTCACTGTTAAACAAAAATCTCCAAATGGGTCTGAACTTCAATGTCTAAAACTCCTGGTAGAGGACAAGGATCTGGAGATTACGCTCAGGGTGGCCAAATTCTGTGTGACTGCCATAAAACGTAGGGAACAAGCTGTACTACCAAAATGATTAAGGTTTTAAATGATAATTTTGGGTTATATTTTAGTGATCAAGATTTATTATACACACACACACACCCCGGACCACAAGACGCACCTAGTTTTTGGAGGAGGAAAACAAGAAAAAATATTCTGAATCTCAGAAGCCAGAACAACAAGAGGGATCGCTGCGCAGTGAAAGCAGCGATCCCTCTTGCTGTTCTGGCTTCTGGGATAGCTGTGCAGCCTGCATTCGCTCCATAAGACGCACACACATTTCCCCTTACCTTTAGGAGGGAGAAAGTGAGTCTTATAGAGCAAAAAATTCAGTATATCTTAATTGCCGCTACATCTGAATTGTCTCTGTTGTACTCAACTGCAATTCAATGTATCCCTGTTGTGTTTTATGATTTTCCTGATATTGTAAGTGACCTGGAACTGGTCTGTGACCGTAATAATAAAATTCATTCATTCACTGGGTGACCTTGGGCCACTCACTGCCTCTCAGCCTGCCCTGCCCCAGAAGGTTGTTGTTGGGATTGAATGAGGAAGGGGGAGAAACTTGAGTTCCTTTTTCTTCAAGGGAAGGGTGTGAATGCAATTAGTAATGTATTAAGCCAAGAAAGACCCTAAAGCACTGGTAAGTATTTGCACCACTGTGACATCTGTTTATTTTGAGCATTCATAATGTGATAGGAGTTTTATGGTCTTAGACATATTGCTCATTTAAAAGTGAACAGTGTTGCACCAGTAAAAATCAACCCAGTAAGACAGAAGTTGCCCCATAAGAAGGTATGGGGCTAGAAGGTAGGGAAATGACCCCCAAGTCTGCCCACCTTTGCTCCCGCAGGTGTCCAGGCATTCCTCCATGGTAGCAAACCGGTTGGCGTTTCCCTGGCAGCCTCCGTAGGGAAAGGGCAAGCAGGTCTCCTTTGACGGAGAGTAGTGGTACATGCGGGAGTAATCGAGACACGGACCCGAATCCCGGGGCAGCACGCAGATATCTGCCAGCAGAGAGCCGAGAGGAGGAGTCAGCAGTCCCCACCTTCCCTTCATAAGAACATAATGTGAGCCTGCTGTGATGGTCACATGGGATTGCTATGAGGAATTATGAAAATATGGAGCAAGCCATTGTGTCCGCAATGAAAGCATTACTTGACTGGGCTGGAGTCATTGACAATAATTTCTGATCAAATCCCACAAGCCTCAGCATCTCTGCCCATTTTTTCTACTGCCCATTTTCTCTACGCCTGACAGGCACATATAAGCATTCTAAAACACAGACCGGTTGCTTCTCCGGGCATCCTGGGCCATAAAGAGAGTAGATAGCTTTGATGCACCTTTCCTTGGTTTTGTTAGTCTTAGGGCCAAGAAATAGAGTTTCACATAGGAGGTGATAAAGATGCCTAATCTTTCCTTGCCATCCTTCCTCTCATATTTACTGCTTGTTTATGACCTCCGGGGTTGCTGAATGCATTCCTCCTTTTTAGTCCTGTTTTATTTACCCCAGAATGTGTGCATGTTCAGATTAGCTCTTTGTAGTTTTAACTTTGTCCCAACGCGGGGTTTTTGAAATGCTCAGAGGAAATCTGATTGGTTCTTACGAACACTGTGTAAAGGGTTCTTTTGTTAATAAAGCGGCCTGGACGAGGGAGTGGCGATACACACTTCCTCCCAGAGTCTTGCCGGCCAAGCCTCGTGTTTTGTTTTATCAGGGTCCAGTCCTTTCCTTTGGCTTCAGAATGCAACAGTCTGCTGGATCAGGCCAATGGGGGTCCATCTAGGCCAGCACCCTGAAGCACTGCTGCCTCCGACTGTGGAGGGCAGAACAGAGCCATTGTGGCTAATATCTATCCATAGCCCTCTCCTCTTCCACAAATTTGTCCTATCCTCTTTTAACGCCACCTATGTTGGTGGCCATCACTGCCTCCTGTGGGATCCTTTGCTGAAGAGGCTCTTTGATCTTTCAGACAAGTCTAAACTTAATTCTCTCCTCTTAGGCAAAGATCATAAGTCGACCTGGCGGGCAGCCAGATTCTGCGCCCAGATTTGTAGGCACAGATCATCCTCTAGTATAAAATAGCTTACTAGGGAAATGCTGAAGTCGCCCTTTGGGGCGCCGCAGGGTCAATTTTTATGGTAGCCCAAATCTCAGTTGTAGGGGTGTATGACTATATCTCAATTTTAACTCATGAGCTATTGCTGCAATCTGCTCTGATTGTATATTTTATCTTTATGAATGCTGTTTTTATTGTGTTATGTTATGTGAGTCTTTGACAGTAGTAAATCATCTATCTCACCTTGCCATTGTAACCTACTCTGTCCACCCCCCAAGGCGATCAAGACAAAATGAATGATATGCCTCCTGTGGCAGGGAGTTCCACAGTTTAACTGTGCGCTGCTTGAAGAAGTAGGCATTTGGAGTATAATGGAACAGGCTACTTCGGGGATATTACAGTGCTGCTGATTGTATGCATTGTTGTACTTAATGAATACAAAGAATGTAAGAAAAGCCTGCTAGATAAGACCAATGGCCCATCTCATCCAGCCTCCTGTTCTCCCAGTGGCCAGCCAGATGCCCAATATGGGAAACCAACAAGCAGGATTTGAGCACAAGAGCGACTCTTCCCTCCTGTGGTTTCCTGTAACTGGGTTCCTCTAACCATGGAGGCAGAGCCGAGCCATCATGTCTAGCGGCTGTCAATAGCCGTCACCTCCTGATTTGTTTGTTTTAATATGGTGTGTCTCCCCCCCTTTTCTGGAAGTACCAGAACGGGTTATTTCTGGGTTTTGGTGCTTGCGCTTGCGCTTGCGCATGCGTATGCGCAGAAGCACTAAATTGCACTTTGCGCATGCACAGAAGCGCCGAATCGCAACCCGTGCGTGAGCAGATGCAGCGTTGCGGGTTGCGAACGCTGCGGGTTGCGAACGTGCTTCCCGCACAGATCACGTTCGCAACCTGAGCGTCCACTGTACAATGACGATGACAGCTGCATTGGCAGGAGTCCCGCCTTACCCGGGTTCCGGCACTGCTGTTGGCATCCCTCCAGAGTCTCGAACCTGTTGAGGTTTCCCCCGCAGCCTCCGTAAACAAAGGGAAGGCAGGACTGGTTGCGGTGGTTATAGTAGAACATGGGGAAGTAGGCATCACAGGGACCGGGGTCTGCCGGGAGCTTGCAGATCTCTGCCGTCACAGAAGAAACAAAGGCTCGTCAGAACAAAGGCACCGTGGGAACTGTGAAAGAGTGTCATGCCCACCCCTCTTAAAAGAGCTGCCCCAGTTGGGTCTAAAGGTAAAGGGACCCCTGACCATTAGGTCCAGTCGTGGCCGACTCTGGGGTTGCAGCACTCATCTCACTTTACTGGCCGAGGGAGCCGGCGTACAGCTTCTGGGTCATGTGGCCAGCATGACTAAGCCGCTTCTGGCGAACCAGAGCAGCGCATGGAAACGCCATCTACCTTCCCGCCGGAGCGGTACCTATTTATCTACTTGCACTTTGACGTGCTTTCGAACTGCTAGGTTGGCAGGAGCAGGGACCGAGTAACGGGAGCTCACCCCGTCGCAGGGATTCGAACCGCCGACCTTCTGATCGGCAAGCCCTAGGCTCAGTGGTTCAGACCACAGCGCCACCCGCGTTGGGTCTACTCAATGGTAAATGGATGAACAGGAATCTGCAAGTTTCTTGTATGGTCTCCCCCTAGAATTGCATCATAGAACTGTAGAGTTGGAAGGGACCCAATGATTCATTGGAGGTCTTTCAGCACAGGTTGCGGGGGGTGGAGTGCATCTGTCTGTGATCCTTTAGCAATAATTCATTGATTGGGCTACTAGAGGACTCTTGGGATCCCTTCCCACTCTGCCAATTCTATTATTCAATTCTAGGATCATAACCATCGTTATATTCATTTGTACCCCACTTTCCCCCAGATGGAGGCTCAAGGCAGCCTACAGATGAAGTAGAAATTGCTAAAAACATGGACTTCCGATTTGCCGCGGCCATCGGCAAGAAGCGTGGAAGAATGGAGTAAATTTATGGACTATATAAGTGAGAACTGTAGAAATTTGAAGATGTTAGCAGGGCTGAAATAAATCTTATGACATGGACTAGATATTACTAAGGAACTGCGGATTAGAGACTTTTATAAGAAAACCTGCTGAAGGGAGGGAGGGAAGTCAATGCTTGGTAGAGCGGAAAGATAGATGTAAAAGGATATGAATTATCAGTGTATTTTGTTTGTGTATATGAAATGAAAACCTAATAAAAAGCATATTAAAAAAAGAGAGAAATTGCTAAAAACATTAAAAAGCAAATCAACACGAATTAGAATTATCTAGCCATGATCTATGAAAGCATGCAGATAATTGCAAGAAAAACATCAAAGCACCAGCCCTTTCCTTAAAGACAGTCAGTTCCCAAAAGCCTGTGGGAACAAGGACAGCAAGGGGGGAGCCAGCCTAGCTTCTTGAGGCAGGGAGTTCCAAAGTTGCCTGGGAGCAAACACAACGGAGAAGGCCCTCTCCCACATCCCTACCAATTATGCCTGTGAGGGTGCTGAGAATGGTCTCCCCCCGAAGATCTCAGAGGCTGGGCAGGTTTGTATGGCAAGGAGAGAGTCCTTCAGATCGCCTGGGAGTCCCTCCCCACTCTACAGTTTGATGAGTCCCTCTCCTTCACTCCACGGCAGCAAGGCTCCCCTTCGACAGCCAAGCCTTGCTGGTGGCTGCTTCTCCCTCGAAGTCTTACCAGGGTACAGGCAGGTGCTCCGGCATTGCTCCAGTGTCCGGAACCGGTTCTCGTTGCCATTGCAGCCGCGGTAGGTGAAACGCTCGCAGGTTTTGTTAGCGTAGTTGTAGTAGTAGCTGAGCTTGTGGTTATTGCAGCTGCCGCTGTCCTCTGGGAGCTTGCAGATATCTGGGGAACAGGAGGGAAGAGGGGAGGACATAGGAGGGAGCGTACTGAGGATCCTGGGTTTTATCCCCACCATCTCCAGCCGAAATGTTACAAAGCTTACAGTTCTGACCGCAAGCCAGATACCCCTCTGGGGTTCTGTTGACACAGAGACCCAGACGTTTCCTAAAACTGGCACTTGATGGAGCCATAGAAAGCCATGGAATATTATTCAAGCTGTGGTGATTCAGGCAATTAAAAAAGACAAGGGTATGTAGCAACTCCTCTAGGAAGAAAAGTTGCAGCATTTGGTATGCTACAACAGCGGCAAGAGTCTTGATAGCACAAGGGTGGAAGAACGAGGAAATCCCAACGAAAGAACAGCGGCAAGAAAAACTGATGAGTTACACAGAGCTGGAGAAATTGACCTACAAACTGCGGGACAAGGACAACTGTGACTTTAAGGAAGAATGGGAGCTTTTTACAAATTATGTAAAAAGACAACAAAATGAACTGGACTCCTTGGCAGGTTTTGAATACACATACACAAATTTATTGGTTGATAACAGGGGAGATACCTGTAGATAATGTAAGGATATGTATAATTTCATAACATGCAGAGAATATGTGCTGAGAAATCAGAGACAGGAGCTGAGGGAAGTCTCGGGGGGGGGAGGGTTAGAAGGGGGGAAGGGGGGAAATAATGAATGTATGTTTTGATAATTTGTTATGTTGAAATTGTTAATAATTTTTTTTTTTAAAGAAAAGTTGCAGCATTTGGGACTTTTCAGTTTAGAGAAAAGAAGTGATGTAATAGATAGGTCCAATGTGTGGCTCGAGACCTTTGGCAACATTTGACAGCCTCCCAGCCTTTGCACCATCATCCCAAAGCCAGGTAAGTGAGGTGCTGGGCTTTGGGAAGGAGGCACAAGGCTCTGGCAGGATCCTGGCATCTCCCCTCCTTCTTCCCAAAGCCTAGTTAGCACTTAGGCAGCTTTGGGAAGGACAAGGGAGGGCTCTAGGACTCTGCCAGAGCCTGCGTCTCCTTCCCAAAGCCCAGCACCCTAGGAAGGATGGAGGGGGGCATTAATTTTTGGCTTTCCTTGCCTTCAACTTGTGTGACAAGGGAGTGTGCAGCCTGTGGTTTCCATGTCCAAGTACACTTGCAGCCCACTTCATATGGACTTGTGGACATGCAATGAAGCCAGATGTTGGAAGAGTCAGGGCAGATAAATGAAAGTCCTTCTTCACCCAGTGCATAGTTCTACACTTTAGCTCCCTCCCACAGGAAGCGGTACCTGCATCTCCCTCTCGTTTCCATCTGCCTGCATCTGCCTCTCACCTGGGTTTCTGCAGGTCCGAAGACACTGCTCCTGAGTGGAGAACCGGTTGCCGTTTCCTTCGCAGCCACCATAAATGAACATCTGACAAGTCCTGTTGCTGGGTAAGTAGTAGAACATGGGCTGGTAGCTTTTGCACCGACCTGGGTCCATGGGGAGGCTGCAGATATCTGCCACCAGAAACCAAAGAAGCATCAGAGGAGGGCAGTTTAAGAGAGTGGGGTGGGGTGGGAAAACTGCAGGCAGGTGGGGGTCTGGGAAGGAGACTTCAAGACTGAACGGCAATGTCACCACCCGGAATTTCAGCGAGCGGAAGAGTATCAGCTTGTGAGAAGAGGCCTTGTGAGATCCAGGAGGGAAGAAAGCGGGGCAGGTGGCTCCTGAGATCATAGAATCATAGAGCTGGAAGGGAACCTTGTGGGTCATCTAGCCCAACCCCCTGAAACGCAAGAATCTCAATTAAAATCACTGGCTGGAGAATGGTTTTCTGAAGTCCAGCATCTACAGTTGTTTTGGCTATTTGAAGGTTGCTAATAAGGGGTCCAGATCTCTCCCACCCAAGGATGCACCGTTCTCATCACAATTAATTTAAAAATAGCTTTGAAAACCCCTTCTCTGCTTGGCCTCTAGCATTGAGGAAGAGTTCTGGAGACCCTGAAAGCTTGCAAACAATTACATATGTTGAATTTTGATTGGCCTAATATGAATTTAGGATGGCTTAGGAACTGCTAAACTTATTCCCCTTGCTTTCTCCACTGTGCTTTGAAATGAACTGCCCAGAGAGCTTATGATTAAGGGCAGTATATAAAATTAATAAGTAAAATAAATAAAGTATCCATGACAGATGGCCACCCAACCTCTGCTTAAAAACTTCCAATGTTCAAGAGTCCACCACCTTCTGAAGGATTACTTCCGGATGTTTGGTTGGAATCTCCTTCCTTGTAACTCGAATCCATTGGTTCAGGTCGGGGCGGAGGAAGGGGAGTGCGGTGGGTGCTGTCCACCCCAGGTGTCCCCACTGAGGGGGCGGGGTGACAAAATGTTGGCCGGCACTCACCGCAGGGCCTGCAGCGCGCCTGAGCCGCGCATCTCTCCTGGGAGTGACGTGGTGGCTTGGACGCGCACAGGCTCCCTGCTGCCCCAAATGGTCTGCCCGCCACCTCCCCCTCACCTGTAGGGCGGCTGAGTGGGAGGAGGCAGGCAGACTCCTCGGAGGCCCAGTGGAGCATCCTGCCCTGGCTGGCTTCGCCCCCGCACACAGGTCACGCACGCTGCCCCAGGCGCCCGATTGGCTTGCTCCACTGCTGGTTCAGGTCCTCCAATCTGGAGCAGCAGAAAACAAGCTTTCTCCATCTTCCAGGTATGTGAAGATGGCTTTCATATCACCTCTCCATGATGCAGGACTAAGGAGGAAACTGGTTGTTTTTTATTTTGTTTCCATTTTCATGGGAAATCTCTGACATCCCTCAGTGCAAGGCGCTAACCCGCCTTCCCTTTGTGCAAGCAGCAAAGTGATGTGGCCTTGTGGCCTTGGAAACCCAGGTACTCTCCGAAACTCACTCTGGATCTAGGATTGCAACCAGTGTAAACCAGGACCTCCAATATCCACCCCATTAATTCGGCTTAGAAGGATGCCACGGTCAATGGATTAAAAGTTGCTGAGAGATGAAGGAACACCTTGATGGTCACCCCCTTCCTTCTCCCAAGAAGGCTGATAGGGGCAGTTCAGCCCCATAACCAGGCCTGAACCCAGACAGAGATAAGCCAAGATGACCAGTTTCATCTAAGAGTACTTGCAATTCTTGCTCTGCCTGCAACCCTCTTTCCATAAAATTTGCAACCAGGTGATGGTTGTCTGATTCTTTCCAATCAGAATGAATGCTCAGTAAATCAGATGGTTGCATGACCTCCGCGGGAATTTTGTGTAGATAGATTATTTGCTTCTCCTGATTAATTCATTGCTGAATAATTCATTCATGACTGATTCATCCTGATGCTGTTAATATTGCGCATATGGAAGCAAATGGGATGAATACAAGCAAACTCTTCTTGAAATAAAAAATACTCCAGTCCAAAAATATGGTTCAAAAGCTTTACTTCAGAACTTAGCTCCAAAACAAACTTAGAACAATAAAGTTACACTCAGATAGATGCATGATATCTTATGTTGATCCCAACAGGTAAAATATCTTAGATTATGAATAGCTCCCATCCAGAGCTGAAATCAAAGCTCTGCCTCTCTTGCAAACAACCTCCATCATTAGCCTGAGGCTGTTTTCCTAAAGTGAGAGAAGTTCTTTCTCTTCAGTGGCTTCAGAACAAAAACTAGCACACCCAAAACTGAGACCTACACCTACAGATTAACATATGCATAGGCTGGCGATTGCATCATTTTCATGTGATTTAAGTTAAATACCCGTCTCACTTAATCATTAGCTGTTAGGCTCTCTACTTAGCGTCAATGGAATTTTCCATGCCATACTACACAGTATACATACAGGCACATTACAGAGTCATTTTCCACTTCAGTGTACAATTAAACAATTATACTTAACAATTCACCCATCCATCTGCTCCTGATCTGCAAACCAACCTTCCAACAGAGCTCGACATCTCACCTACCAACTTCCCCACAGACGTCCATGCAATCCTTCCTGGTGTAGAAGCGATTGGAGTTCCCTTTGCAGCCGCTGTACTTGAACCTCCTGCACCTCTTGGTGCGGGGGTGGTAGTAGAAATAGTCCAAGGACAAATTGCAGGAGCCAGGATCCCTGGGGAGGTTGCAGAGATCTGCCGGAAAACAGAAGGGTGCGGGAGAGGAAGCAGGGCAAGTTGAAATAATGGGAGGCCACTGTCTTGACCTCAGAAAGGAATGAACCAAGCATAATACTAATAATTATTATTTATTATTTATACCCTGCCCATCTGGCTGGGTTTCCCTACCCACTCTGGGCGGCTTCCAACAGAACACTAAAATACAATAACCAATTAAACATTAAAAGCTTCCCTAAACAGGGCTGCCTTCAGATATCTTCTAAAAGTTTGGTAGTTATTTTTCTCTTTGACATCTGGTGGGAGGGTGTTCCATAGGGCGGGTGCCACCACCGAGAAGGCCCTCTGCCTGGCTCCCTGTAACTTGGCTTCTCGCAGCGAGGGAACTGCCAGAAAGCCCTCGGCGCTGGACCTCAGTGTCTGGGCTGAACGATGGAGCCCTGTGGCTTCATCAGAACTGGCAGGGATCCTAATTTGGTTCGTGAGGCTGTTCCCTTCCCCCAACAAGCCAAGCCCACCTGCCCCACAGGTAGGTGATGCCAGGTGTAGGGCAGGTAAAGGTGCCTTAAAATGTGCTCCGAAACAGTCCTCGGAGGGGCTTGGATTGAGTCCCTTTTATTGATTTATTTATTCCTTAAAATTTATACACTGCTTGATTGTAAGAACAAACACACCTCAGTATGGTTTACAAAAAAAGAGAAAATGATATACCGGTAACTATTGAAAAATCAACAACAACTACTTGAGACATTCAAAAATTTGAAGGACAATAGGCTAACAACAGATTAAAACTTGCACCAACTTTCTAAACATCTGGGCAGATTTGTCTAAGAAACATCTTTAGCAGGTGCCGGAAAAGGTACCGTGAAGGCACTTGCCTGAGACCAACAGGCAGGAAGTTTCAAAGTGTAGCTGCTGCCACGAGTTCTTGTAAATGCAGATCAGGGAGCCGCAATGTTCCACCACTTGAAGTGTGTTGTGGTTCTGGACTGTCAGTAGTTAACACTCCAGGAGTGTTCTTATCAACTGGGTGCACTGCCCACAGGATCCGTGCTTGTTTTACTTTGTTTTTTTTTTTTTTAAATCATATTTATTAAAGTTTCCAAAAATATAAAAATACAAAGAAAAAAGACAAAAGAAAAAAGATATTTAAAAACCTTACTTTCATTCCCTACTTTCTGGGACTCCCCCTCCCCCAATTGTATTCCCCTTTCCTTAATTTGGTTCTACAAGCTCTCACTCCCAATTTAAAGCTTAATTTGTTTAACCCACTATCCAGATTGAATTGTACAAATCTTACCACTGTCCCACATCATTTAACAGAAAGAAAAATGATTTTCCCCAAGATCCACCCCAGTTCCTTCCACAAATTCCCTTTTTTTTAAACACGTCCGATCAAAGTAAAATAACATGCGTAAGTTATGTAAAGAAATAGAAAATAAGAGATATAGAAAAATTCAAAAAATGGTTACACAGCCTTTGGATTTCAAATCTCCCCCCTTCCCGGTTTGAATTCCCCATGTCCATCAGTCTATACATTATCAGCTTGGAAGTCTCATTTCATGACCAGATTTCTCCCCGATTCCATCTTGCCGGTTTTCTTTTAGTTTATTAATTTAAATAATATTTGACTTCAAATGTCCAATCTAACAAAGGCCTTTAATTTCCTTGATCTTTACCACTCCTCCCGTTGTTCTTTCCGTGTCGTAATCAGTCCTTTATTCTTCTTATTCCTCACTTTCTCAGGTTTCTTGTCCTGTTCAGCTGCTAAAACTTTCTAATTCAGAAATCTAGTGTCTCTGCAGAGGTTTGTTATTCAGGAACAAAACTTACGTCCAGTCCCTTTCTTTCTTCAATAAAAATTCCATTGTCTTCCTCTGTAGACAAAATACTCTTTCAGTTTTGCAGCTTTCCCAGAAGATAACAAATCCTGTGCGAATCCCAGGGTATTTTTCCACTTACGACCGTTCTTGTAGTATCCCGAAACCCCTCTAGGGTGATTGTAATAACATTGTATCCACGAATCCAAAAGTCAAATTGTTGCTTATTTTCCAACAGTTTATATCCATATTATAGCAAATTGTAACAAAATTAACCAGCAAGGTCCTCATAAAGTCCTCTTTATATTCTCCAGCTTTGACAGCCACTTTGACAGCTGTCAAAGTCTCCGTCTCTCTTCACCAGGCTCCACGAATCGCCCCGGTTCCCAGGGGGGGGGTTGCATTTTACTTCTCACCCTCCACTCTTCTCCTCCAGCACATTTCTTATAATTTCCCATCGTGAAATTAATGATTTTTATCAGAGACATACTTCCCTTTGGACCTTGGTTACCCAGTCCTTGTTTTGGAATGCTTACAATAGGGGGGGGGATTGACTTCCTTTTAAATCGCCCCGCTCGTGCCAAATCCAAAATTTTGAACCCGGTTTCCCAATTACTCACGGGTTGTTGTTAATAGTCCAAATTTTCAATAGAAGAAGTCAGCGCTCTCCGTCGAATGGCATGCGGCTGCGCTCGGCAGGGAAAGCAGTGGACTCAAAGCACCACGCCACTCCCCGGCACCCGATCCGAAGCCTTTAAAAGGCTCCTTCACGAGTCGGGAGGGCGCTAATGGTGCAAGCCGAGTCACCCATGTCCACGGACTCCGTGCCCGTGGTTTTTAAGGGTCCCCGCGTCGCCGGCGCGGTAGGACCCAGCCCCTGCCGAGCAGACTCCCTCCGGAGCTCGGAGGGAGTCCGCCATTCGGCGATGGCGCTAACCCGGAAGTCCCGTGCTTGTTTTACTTTGATCTATGCTCTGTGGGATCTGAGCTCTCTCTGGAGAGCAGTCTGTCTGAGAATGTGAGCAAGGTCGTTTCGTTTTTGTTAAGAGGCAGAAAGCTGGGAACATGCAGCTAGATTCCGTAGGTTTTCTTTTCTGTTTTGAATGCTTCTAAATAAAGAGTTTTAGATCAGAAGCACTGGTGTTGAGCTGAGTTATTGAGGACACCACGTCGACACAGACAAGCCATTTTATGCTGTGTGTGAACTCTGCTATTATCCGGCAACTGAGGAGAGTGGCAGTGCGCGGAGTGGAAGCGTGTGGGCGCCATTGGAGTTTTGTCGGAGTGGCAATAAATCAAATTTATTGCAGGGCCGTTGCAGCCAACTCAGTGGGTCAGAAGATATACGACCCAACAAACTTTAACAAAGTGGTCGGGTGGGCATATTTGGGGTAAGGCAATCTTGTAGGTAAACTTGTCCCAAGCCCTTAAATTGGGCATCAGATGCAATGCTCACCACCAGGGCGGATTCTACTCAATAGCTTCCAATCAGAGCTCCCAAGCCGAGTCAATCCCAGATGAAAGACAGGCTTGAAGTCAGTTCCCATCAGTGGATCAAGCTCTGCAAGGAATAGCTGCCCTCTGGCGCTTCCCACTGGGAACTGGGGAGTGTGGCCCATTCCGGCCAAAAGTGGACCTTGAAGACAATGCCAATTATTGTATTGTTGTTGTTGTGATTAAATAAATTTGTATACTGCCCAATATCTGCAGGTCTCAGGGTGGTTCATAAGTGTGTTCAGGACCCAGTGGAATCCGCTATACTCCAGAGTATGGATCTCTTGGAATCCTGCTCTGCAGAGTCGCTGAGACTTCGGTGCAAAGGAAACATGGGGAATGTCTGGCAACTGCCAGGTAGGCAGATGGGTTTTAAGAGGCAGAGAAAAAGCCCAGAGCGGATCACCATCTCCAGCTCAAGAGCTCTGCTGGTCCATTTCCCGGTACCTTTCTCTCTTTTTTTAAAAAGATATTTATTAAAGTTTCAGATAAAAAGAAACACATCAATAAAAACAAGAATTTAAAAGTAAAAAGAAAAATACACAATACACAATACAGAAAGAAAAGAAAAAAGAAAAAACAGTTGAAAACAATTCCATCTTTTCATCACTACTTTTGAATTTACTTATTTTCTGGACCTCCTCATACCTCCCTCTTTTGTATTCCAATTCAGGTTGTTTGTCCAGCAATTCCTTTCCCCATTTCCCAGTACCTTTCTCAAGGCCGACACACTCGCGGCCGCATCCTGTGAAGCAGCATTTCTGTGTGTGGTCACATTCCCGGTCGTCCTCGCATATGTTAGGGCAAGAGGGAAACCGTCTCAGGTCATCTATCTTTGGGCACACCCCAGGATTTTCTGGGAAGAGAAGGGCTGCTCATTAAAATCACATCAAACCAAAACGCACAGTAAAATAATAATAATAATAATAATAATAATAATAATAATAATAATAGGAGTGCAGTTATCCAGAGTGTGGGGGTCAGGTGGGATTGCTATGAGGAATTATGAAATATGGAGCAAGCCATGGTGTCCACGATGAAAGCATTGCGTTGACTGGGTTTGATTCATTGACAATAGTTTCTGATCGAATCCCAGAAGCCTCTGCATCTCTGCCATTTGCTTTCTCTGTGCCTGACAGGCACGTATAAGCTTTCTAAATACACAGGCCAGTTGCTTCACCAGGCATCCTGGGCCATAAAGATAGTAGATGGCTTTGATGTACCTTTCCTTGGTTTTGTTAATCTTAGGGCCAGGAAGAGAGTTCAGGAAGAGAGATCACAAGGAGAAGGTAAATACTGTTTACTGCTGTTTATGACCTCCGGGTTTTCCTAAAAGCATGCCCCTTCGCTTCCTCTTTTATTTACTCTGAACTACATACGCGGGTGGCGTTGTGGGTTAAACCACAGAGCCTAGGACTTGCTGATCAGAAGGTCGGCGGTTCGAATCCCCGCGACAGGGTGAGCTCCCGTTGCTCAGTCCCTGCTCCTGCCAACCTAGCAGTTCGAAAACACGTCAAAGTGCAAGTAGATAAATGGGTACCACTCCGACGGGAAGGTAAACAGCGTTTCCGTGCGCTGCTCTGGTTCACCAGAAGCGGCTTAGTCCTGCTGGCCACATGACCTGGAAGCCGTACGCCGGCTCCCTCAGCCAATAAAGCGAGATGAGCGCTGCAACCCCAGAGTCAGCCACGACTGGACCTAATGGTCAGGGGTCCCTTTACCTTTACATATGCATGCTCAAGTAGGAAATAGTTTCTTTGTAGTTGAAATAATTTATTCTGATCTGACTTTGTCCCACATGGGGATTTTGAAATGCTCAGAGGAAATCTGATTGGTTCTTATGAACACTGTGTAAAAAGTTCCTTTGTGAATAAAACGACCTTGGCCGAGGGGTGGAGAGGAATTATTATATGCACTCCTCCCAGAGTCTTGCTGGTCAAGCCATGTGTGTATTTTATTAATCAGAGTCCAATCCTTCCTTGCTTTGGGAACACTACAAATAATAATAATAATAATAATAATAATAATAATAATAACGCCCCGCTCATCTGGGTGGGTTGCCCAAGCTGCTCTGTTGGATTAATGGGAAACACTTAAGCAGAATCTGAGCGGAAGAGCAACTCTCTTCCGTCCTGCAATTTCTAGGAACTGGTATTCAGAAACATTGCTGTTTCCAGCTGTGGTGGGCAGAGCAGAGCTATCCTATCTAGCAGCCATTGATAGCTCTCTCCTCCTCCGTGAATCTGCCTAATCCAGTTGGTGGCCATCCCTGCCTGCTGTGGCAGGGAGTTCCACAGTTTAACTCTGCACTGCATGAGGAAGGACTTTTTTCCTCTGTTCTGAATCTTCCGACGACGTCCCTCTTCCCTGGATGCCCACGAGTTTTAGTGCCATGAGAGATGGAGTGTGGAGGTAACGCTCTGCTTTGCGAAGGCAAACCTTGCACCAGACGTGCGACAATATGTCAAGGAGCGTTGAGCCTGCTTTCCCTGACCTTTTGCCTTCTTGGCTAGAAAACAGGGTTTTCCCCCTGACTTTTCGTCCTCTCACAATTTGTTTGCTAGACATACCACTTGGCTGGAGCATGACGGGGGACGCAGACGTAATCAAGTATCGGGGGGAACATTTGAGGGAAACACCTGCTGACACGTGTATTTGCTAACGCTGGAAATGTGCTTAGGTGGAAATACGTTAAGTTCAGGGTGGTTTCACGACTGTTTCCAATTGTTGACTTCTGCTAATAAAAGGAGCCTTGGCAGAGCTAGCCGGCAGCTTGCTTGGAGCATCCTTGCTAGCTTGCTTCTGCACAGCTCACCTGCATTCAACCTCCTGTCGTCTCTGTTATTCCTACAATGGAGGAAAACTTTTCTCTATTTACTCACTCCATGCCATACTTAATTATAGAAAACTTCAGTTCTGTGTCACTTCTTACGTTTTCTCCAAGCTAAAGGTAAAGGTAAAGGGACCCCTGACCATTAGGTCCAGTCGTGGCTGACTCTGGGGCTCATCTTGCTTTATTGGCCGAGGGAGCCAGCGTACAGCTTCCGGGTCATGTGGCCAGCATGACTAAGCCACTTCTGGCGAACCAGAGCAGCGCACGGAAATGCCGTTTACCTTGCCACCTATTTATCTACTTGCACTTTGATGTGCTTTCGAACTGCTAGGTTGGCAGGAGCAGGGACCGAGCAACGGGAGCTCACCCGGTCGCGGGGATTTGAACCGCCAACCTTCTGATCAGCAAATCCTAGGCTCTGTGGCTTAACCCACAGCGCCACCTGCGTCCCTTTCTCCAAGCTAAAAATCCCCAAATGCTGCAAGCTTTCTTCATCGGTGAGTCGATCGGCTCTGTCCCTATGATAATTGCAGTTATCCATTTCTGAACTCTTCCCAACTCTATCCTTTTTGAGGTAATGCAACCAGAACTGTACACACTATTCCAAATGCAGCCGCACCAAAGGTTTCTTTCGAGACGGTCATGCCATTCCTCCAGAGGACGCTTCCATCCCTTCTCCCAGCCCACCTGCAAGTACCAGCAGGGTCTGCCCCTTCCTCCGGCTCCCCCCCACTTACCTGGCTCTGCATCAACGCAGCTGGATAAGCAGCCCCAGCGGCAGCATTTCTTCCCCTTGCCACACCTTTTGTCGTCGACACACCTGATGGCGCACATTGTAGGGGGGAAGGGGTTGGAGCTGGGGCAGTAGCCGGGATTCACTGAGGGGCAAGGAGAGGGAGCAGATTAGGCCATGAAGAATACATCCTTCCACAATGGTTAACTGAGGACTGTTTTTAAATTTTCATGGTTTTCACTGTATGGCTTTATATTGCTGTAAACCGCTTTGATGTATATTTTCATGACAAATAATAAAGCTAAGGCAAGGAGCCAAATATCTTCTCATTCAGCGGCCTTTAGTTCTGTGAACTGCCCTGAGACCTCTGGGTATAGGGCAGTATATAAATTCTAATTCTAATTACAACAATAACAATAATAGTCTATCCTCTTTCTGAAGAAATGCAGCACTCCCCATTTTTCTTCCCACCATCGGCTGCCGCCTACAGAGGACTGTTTTCAAATGAGAAGTGAAAAAGAAGGAGCAAATAGCACAGTCGCCATCAGGGATGTGGCCCTCCAGACCTCTCTATCTGGCCCTTTGGACCCTCTCCAGGAAACCCCCTTCCCTGCACCTGCTTCACATGCATCATTTTGTGGCAGGACAGGCATCCGTCCTTAACCTCTGACAACGTCCCTTGCAAGGGCCTGTAGAAAAGGGAACTGTTCAAAAGGTAAACATTGCATACACTGCCCACCTTTGCCTCTGGCCCCACCCACCCCGGCACGTGGCCCCTGGAAGGCTGCCCAGAAGGCAATATGGCCCTCTCTCTCCCTGTTCCTGGAATCTGGAGACAGAGCGAGCTGCTTGCTCTGTGCTGGATCCCAAGCTGTGAGGAATGGAGAAGGAAGACCTCCTGGAAGTGTGTTCATGCTGTGACTCCTCCATCTTATGCTCAGGTTGAATTCCTGTGCAAATCATAGTTGCCGACTCCCTGGGGCCCTGGGTGCCTGAGCACCCACAAAGCTCCCCATGAAGAGGTTGGGCACCCACAAATTGTTAGAATATTCTGTTCCAGCTTAAAAGGAACAGGCATGATTGTTGTGTATCACATGCCTGTTTACACTCCAGCACAGCTTGCTGGGAACTACCATTTGTGTATAGCTTTTGCTTATTCTGCCTTGCTTGGACATGAAAGGGAGAAGACATGTTTTTCCTTTGTCCTAATCTATGCTGAATAAACTGCTTGTAAATACACTTTACATATGCCTCTGTCTGTCCTTCCGTTGGGAAGAGTTTGTTATCTCTGCTGGCTTGCGTGCTCAGCTTCTGAAAGGCTTCTGAAGCTCTGGGTCGCAGTTTGATGCTGTTCCATGGACCGGAGTTCGCCCGGCTGCCGGCCGGTGGGCTGGAGTCAGCTGGGGGCCTGCCCATTGCCCCCGTTTCCTTGGACACATCCCAACACAAATTTCAGTGCCAGGGCCATGCATGGGGCATGGCACCCAGGGCCCCAGGCACCCATGGTTGCGGGGCCAAGATGGCACTCCTGGTGCAAATTAAAGGCACCACAGTCTCTGCAAACCTTTGCTCCAAGGAAACAGGACCTGTGTAAATGCCTGGAGTCTCACTGGGTTGCTCGTAGCAATACAAGATGGTGGGAACGCTCCCCCTGAATACTGGAATTCCCAAGGGCCAATTCCAGAAGGTGTCCAGGCACCACGCTATTAACGTGCACGGACAAAAACTCTGAAACATAGGGAAACTTTACCCCTAATGAGTTCTCCGTAATTGTAAATACTGAAGCAATTTACAAGCTGAGAAGGGACAAGGGGAGAGGACTCACCATTGACGGGCAACACACACCTCTGCTGGCAGCCATATCTGCAACACATCTGCTCTCCTGGGCAGTTGCTGTGTGTTCTGCACTGAGCACCACACTCCAGCTCTTGGTCCTTCAAGTTGGTGGGGCATCTCATAGCTGGGAGAGAAAGGAACAGCGTCAGTGGAAAGACGGCTGGCGCTCCATGGGAGGCAGGGATGGGGGGAGGACAACTGACCAGCAGCGCAAGAGCCTAACCACAGACACAGAAGGGAAAGTGGGGGACATACCAGGGGGTGTTGGCAGAGGCACAGGGCGTTCCTCAGATGGTGATGAACCTGTGGAGAAGGGAGAGATCTCCAAGGATTTGCCCTCAACACAGTTAAAGCAACAGCAGCCCATACCAAGCCAAAGTTCTTCAGGCAACAGCAGTACCTGTGAAAAGAATCTAGGGGTCTTAGTGGACATGAGTCAAACTTAGCAAAGAAATGCTAACGCTATTCTAGGCTATAATTATAGTTATAATTGGAGGGCAGCCATCTGATCTTATTTTGATTTTAATCTGATTTTACGCTGTGTTTCGGTCGATTGCTGAATTTTATGTCTTAAAAGCTGCCAAGACCACATAACGATGGTCTTGAAAGACCTACATTGGCTCCTAGTACGTTTCCAAGCACAATTCGAAGTGTCTTTAAGCAGAGGCTTGACAACCATATGTCAGGAGTGCTCTGATGGTGTTTCCTGCTTGGCAGGGGGTTGGACTCGACGGCCCTTGTGGTCTCTTCCAACTCTATGATTCTATGATTCTATGATTCTATTGTTGGTGCTGACCTTTAAAGCCCTAAACGGCCTTGGTCCAGTATACCTGAAGGAGCGTCTCTACCCCCATCGTTCTGCCCAGACAATGAGGTCCAGCTCTGAGGGCCTTCTGGCGGTTCCCTCCCTGTGAGAAGCCAAGTTACAGGGAACCAGGCAGAGAGCCTTCTTGGTAGTGGCGCCCTCCCTGTGAAGCGCCCTCCCACCAGATGTCAAAGAGAAAAAAAACTACCAGACTGTTAGAAGACTTCTGAAGGCAGCCCTGTTTAGGGAAGCTTTTAATGTTTAATAGAATATTTTATTTTAATATTTTGTTGGAAGCTGCCCAGAGTGGCTGGGGAAACCCAGCAACATGTGTGGGGTATAAATAATAAATTATTATTATTATTATTATTATTATTATTATTATTATTATTCTGCAGTAAACAGAAGTCCAGTGTCCAGATCAAGGGAAGTCATCATTCCACTCTATTCTGCCTTGGTCAGACCACACCTGGAATACTGTGTCCAGTTCTGGGCAGCACAATTTAAGAAGGATGTTGACAAGCTGGAAGGTGTGCAGAGGAGGGCGACCAAGATGATCAAGGGTCTGGAAACCAAGCTTTATGGGGAACGCTTGAGGGAGCTGGGTTTGTTTAGTCTGGATAAGCGGAGACTGAGGGTTTATCCACACTTACTCCCCTCTCCCTACTCTTTCCAGGCAGTTTGTGATTTAAAGCTACATGTCTGAGCACCATTTTTTCTTTTGCTCATCAGCTTTCCCCTCGAAAACCCACTTTTTAAAGCTCAGTTTTAGCAAACAGCAATCTGCAGAAAAATGATGTTTGCTCCCATTGAGCACTAAAGAGCAGGTTTGGGGGCAGAAAGTTCTAGGGTGTTGTTTAGTCGTTCAGTGGTGTCTGACTCTTCGTGACCCCCTGGACCAGAGCACACCAGGCCCTCCTGTCTTCCACTGCCTCCCGCAGTTTGGTCAAACTCATGCTGGTAGCTTCGAGAACACCATCCAACCATCTCATCCTCTGTCGTCCCCTTCTCCTTGGGCCCTCCATCTTTCCCAACATCAGGGTCTTTTCCAGGGAGTCTTCTCTTCTCATGAGGTGGCCAAAGTCTTGGAGCCTCAGCTTCAGGATCTGTCCTTCCGGTGAGCACTCAGGGCTGATTTCTTTCAGAATGGAGAGGTTTGATCTTCTTGCAGTCCATGGGACTCTCAAGAGTCTCCTCCAGCACCAGAATTCGGCTTTAAAAAACCCAAATGCTCAGACACAGAGCGTTAAAAAGTAGACAGGTGTCTGGAAAGAGTGAGGGGTGTGTGTGAAATAAGTGTGCATAAACCCTGAGAGGAGATCTGATAGCCACCTTCAAATATATCAAGGGCTGATACATGGAAGGTGGAGCAAGCTTGTTTGTTCCCAGTGGAGCAGACAGTCCTTGGAGGTTTTCAAGCAGAGCTTGGATGGCCATCTGCCAGGGACACAGGACTCCTCCAGGTGTGGTCTGGCCAAAGCAGAATAGAGGGTATTATGGCATCCCTTAATCTACTGAGACCCCTAGATCCTTCTCACGTGTACTGCTGGCACGCCAGGTGCCATCTTGTAAAGAGGCCCCAATAGCGGCACCCTTGGGAGTTTTAGTTTCCAATGCAAAAGGAGGGGGGAGCAGGGTCAGCGGAAAGACGTCTGGCGCTGCATGGGAGTCAGGGATGGGGGGGAAGGGCAACTGACCGGCAGCGCAGGAGCCTGCACACAGACCCAGAAGAGAAAGTCGGGGACATACCAGGGGGTGCTGGGCGTTCCTCAGATGATGATGAATCTGTGGGGAAAGGAGAGATTTCCAAGGATTTGACCTCAACACAGTTAAAGCAACAGCAACCCATACCAAGCCAAAGTTCTTCAGGCAACAGCAGTACCTGTGAAAAGAATCTAGGGGTCTTAGTGGACATGAGTCAAACTTAACATGAGTCAACAGTTTAATGCAGCAGCACTAGAGGGAGGGGTTCAGATGGATTACGGGTGGCGGGGAGGGTTAACGCCCCTTCCTACACTCCTGTTCATGATCAGCTCCCCACCCCCACCTTCCAAATAACAGCAGCAGAAGCAGCAGCAGCAACAACAACTGCTATTTGCATTTTGTTTTTGTTTTTAAAATTTTTTATTGGAAATTTTATTTACAACATAACATAAACCCCCACCCCCCAATACAGAAATCCACCCTCATTAAACATGAACATAACATACAATAAGCATAACATACAACAATACAAACAACCCAATAAAAGACTTCCTTAATACTGTATCTGGCCTCCTTATTTACTTCTTATAAGCTGTTTCCTTTATGAATAATTATTAAGATTTTTCTAATTATAACTTAAATATCCACAAAGTCTCCTGCAGACATTAATCGAAACAAGTCCAGGTATGTATTTTAGGGCACTGTTTGGTGAAGTATTCTCTGCATTTCCCCCATGCCTTTTGAAATCCTTGTCTGGTGCGATCTGTAATTGCCTCTGTTGATCTAGCCAGTTCAACTAATCTAGCAGTTGAACTGCTATTTGCATTTTGGAACCCTGCAGATTAAGCACGAAGACCCCAGCCAGGGCAACATCACACCTAGTTTTCAAGCACAGCTTCAGGGCTTTGCTCCACTCACCTCCCTGAGCTGAGGCAGGTGGCACCCTGGCCCAGAAGGCTAAGAGACCCACGAGGAGGAAGGTGCACTGGGTCTTCTTCTTCATCATCTCCATGGCACTTTGGCCGGCTCCAGCGTCTGTTCATTTTATACCTCCCATCGGAAAGATGGGAGGGGAGGAGGAAAGAGAGGCACAGCAGCCAGAGCCAGCCCCACCCCTGCTGGAAGAAGGAGCAGGCTGTGTTGCTGCAGATTCACACACCTGTACACCTGAGCCTGCTTCTGCTGCCAAGAGAGCCATTGGACGTGCATGGTGCCACACTCCAGGAAGGTGAAGAAACAACACCAGAGTGCAAAACCTCATAGGAAAAAAAAATCTTAGTAGCTCTATCCTTTTGCTTTTGAATAGATTTTTTGCTCTAAAAATAAAATTTAACAGGTTATGATCTAGAAACGTGACCATACTGAGTGACCATCTTGATATAAGTACTCTATGGCAACTATGTCAGATGTTTTTACCACCCCGGCAAAATGCCGTTTAAAATGGTCAGCAGGTGCTTCATGCAATCCATCCCAGCACATGGGCCCAACGGCTTTGGATAATTGGTCAAAACGAGCTTTTGAGGAATTAGAACCAAGTTCCATCCTTTTTTTGGACACAAAGCTGGCTGATCCTGCGACGAATTCCCGTCGATGTTTAGGGTCACCAACTCGAAACCTCATAGAATTGTAGAGTTGGAAACGTCCCCAAGGGATATCTAGCAATCACAGCTAAAGAATCCCTGGAGGATGACCTAACCTCTGCTGAAAATCCCCCAACCACCTTCTGAGGTTGTCTGTCCCACCGTTGAATAGCTCACAAAGTTCTTCCTGGTGTTTAGCTGGAATCCCCCTTCTTCTCTGATATATTTTCTCACCGAACCCTTCCTGTTCATTGTCAAACTGGAGGTGACAGGAACCCTAGGTAGGTTCTCCGAAAGGATCTCTCTGTCCCTGTGATTACACCTGCAAAATAATGTTTTGAACCCCTCTATTTATATTGCGCTCTGTAGGGCTGAGAGCTTCACCTTCCTCTGAAAGCTGGACTCCAAAAGTTCCTGAATGCTGAACCACAGAGGGAAGATTCCAGACTTCCAACCAGGCTCAGAGCTATGTAGAGACTAAAATTAAGAACAGTCTGTCTGAGCATGTGCAGAGATCATTTCCCACTCACTATGGAGCAACCCTAGCTTGTTTCCACAGTCCTGGAACTAGCTTCCAGGCCAGATATGTAGCTGTCAGAGTTGGGAAATGCTCTCTGCTTTCTTTTTATTTTTCTTATCAGTAAGGCAGCTCTAGTGGGACGCAGGTGGTGCTGTGGGTTAAACCACAGAGCCTACGACTTGCCGATGAGAAGGTTGGCGGTTCAAATCCCCGCGACGGGGTGAGCTCCTGTTGCTCGGTCCCTGCTCCTGCCAACCTAGCAGTTCGAAAGCACGTCAAAGTGCAAGTAGATAAATAGGTACCGCTCCGGCGGGAAGGTAAACGGCGTTTCCGTGCGCTGCTCTGGTTCTCCAGAAGCGGCTTAGTCCTGCTGGCCACATGACCCAGAAGCTGTACACCAGCTCCCTCGGCCAATAAAGCGAGATGAGCACCGCAACCCCAGAGTCGTCCGCGACTGGACCTAACGGTCAGGGGTCCCTTTACCTTTAAGGCAGCTCTACCAAGGAGTAATCTCAAAGATGTCATATCCTCTTCCAAACCTGGGGTCTTGCCTGGGAGGCTCCCAGCAACATGAACCCCATGGGGCTTGTTAGAGCATAGGAACATAAGAAGAACATCTGCTGGATTCATGGGCAACCAGGTGCCTCTGCTGGGAGGCCCACAAGCAGGATTCAAGCACAAGAGGAACTCTCCTCTCCTGCAGTTTCCAGTAGCTGGTTTTCAGAAGCATAGTCCTCTTGGCTAGTAGCCATCAATAGCCCTCTCATCCTCCATGAATTTGTCCAACCCTCTTTTAAAGCAATCTAGGTTGGTGGCATCTCTGCCTCCTGGGAGGGTGAGTTCCCTAGTTAACTACGCACTGCATGAAAGAGTCCTTTCATTTCTCTGTCCTGGTCTCTGTCTGAACTATTGTCAAAGGTGATGGGAAGGCAGGGGTGGCCGCTATCGTCCCATGAGATGAAAAGGGTAGGTCAGAAGGATAGACCCGCCCTGTCTGGAGGATCCAGACCCCACAGAGAAGGCCAGGAGGACTCCACAATATGGTTTGGTGGCGGACACATCTGGGTGGGGAAAGTGTGAGCTGAAAGGGAGATTGGTTTGATTTGGGCCATTGCTAGATCACACTTGCACCCATTTCACATGAACGGCAGAGCCCCCAATGGGAAACCAGTAGGTGGGATTTGAGCCAAGAGTCTTCTGCCATCCAGTTGTCTCTTGCAACTGGTATTCAGAAACATTGCTGCTTCTGACTTTGGAAGCAGAGTTGAGCCATCAAAAGCCTTATTCTCCTCCATGAATTGGTCTAATCCTCTTTTAAAGTCATCCAGGTTCCTGGCCATCACTGTCGCCTGATTTTTGAGCTCTCTGTATATTTTGGTTTCATATAGCTCTTTGGGCTACAATGATGCCGACAATGATGAACTAAGCCATGGGTAGGCAAACTAAGGCCCGGGGGCCGGATCCAGCCCAGTCACCTTCTAAATCCGGCCCGCAGATGGCCCGGGAATGAGCGTGTAGAATGCGCCCTTTTATTTAAAATGCATCTCTGGGTTATTTGTGGGGCATAGGAATTCATTCATTCCCCCCCCCCAAAAAAAATATAGTCCGCCCCCCCACAATATCTGAGGGACAGTGGACCGGCCCCCTGCTGAAAACGTTTGCTGACCCCTGAACTAAGCGATAAGTATCAAAGACGTAAGACAAAAACTCCTTGGAAACGCAAAGCCACCTCGGAAAAAACAAGGAACTCATGTCGTCGGCTTTCTCTTTCCAGACAAAGGATCATTCCGTTCATTTCTGAGCCTCCACCTTTCCATGGAGAAAGTCCTGACCCAGTTCTTGGAAATAATGCCCACACTTTGTTCTAAGGAAACAATAGATTAATAAGGAGCAGACGCAATTCTGGTGAACAAAAGGAGAAAAGCGTGTGACTCCTGAGAAGCATCTGGTTGGGCAACAGGAAGCGAGATCCCGAGGGGCTGAACGGGTCCAGCAGGTCTTTTCTGATGCCTGATTTGCAGATGCAACAGGGCGGCACCCCAAGAAGGCAGGCAGGGAACTGACTTGGGGACCCCACTTCTGTTCCCTGCTCTGAGAATCATTCCCCACTGAAGTGAGACCCAAAGAAGCCTCAGGCTTGGCAAAAGACCAACGATTGGCTACAAACACACCCACAGCATACTTTGAAAGCAAGGAACCTTGGAACAGGAGCTTCCCCCTTGCAGACCTACAATTCCCAGCACATTTAACAAACTACAGTTCCCAGGATTCTTTGGGGTGGGTGGGGAAAATGTGCCTGAAATGTGCTTTCAGTATATGGGTTTGTTTGTTTGCTTGCTTGTTTATTTACACCCAGACTCTTTACTCTAAGGAGATCAAGATGGTGCACAGGTGGTTCTTCCCCATCTCATTTCATCCCCACCGCAACCTGGAGAGGTAGGGTAGGCTGAGAGGCAGTGACTGGCCAAGGTCACACCCGGTGAGCTTCCTGGATGAGTGGGAGACCTGAACGCTGGTCTCCTAGGTCTGACTCTAACCACTACACCGTACTGTCTCTGACCAATGAGAGGCCCTTTCACCACTTCTACCTCAAGATCATCTGCTGCCACCTTTTATTTATTTATTGCAATGGTTGCATTTATATCCTGCCTTTCTGCCAAGGCACCCAAAGTGCTTTGCCTCTCCCAATATGCCCCGTGGAGGACCTTAAGGTCCATAAATAGCAACACCCTAGAGTTCCCGGGCCAGCTTTGGTTTCCAAAAGTTTTGGAAGTCGAACGGACTTCCGGAATGGATTCTGTTCAACATCCAAGGTACGACTGTAGTACTGAATCAGAACAAGCAGCAGTCTGTTAAAAACCCGGCTGAAGTTTGCTCCGATTCTGTGTTGAGGAGCGTTTCTTCCCATGGGGAAGCTGAGGGACAAGCAGAAATGCGTATGAGCACGTACCCACCAGCATTTCCCTAATTAAAACTGGGACACACATCTTTTGGTGCTGCGCAAATCAGCTGGCTAGGACGTCTTTTGGCAGCACTGACCCCTGTGAGAGCACAGCACCACTGGCAGCACAAGCGGCGGCTCGTTCCTGGGACATTCCGGGATCAAATCAGAAACCAGGATGGATTATGACAGCTGCTGTTTCCCTTACAGTGCAGAGCTCGAGAACAGGAGCTCTTTCTCACTCGCAGGTCTTCCTGGCATGCTACATTTCCCACTGTGATTCTGCTCAGGGCCTGCAAGATCTCCCCCCCCCCCCACCGCATTGTTCTGAACGGCAAGTGACTTTGATTTTGCACAATACCTTTGATAGCATCACAGAGGCATTAAGATGTTCTGAGATGTTATGTGCAACCGATAGGGATCTTATTGTGAGCAGGGAACACTCAGTCTCTGTCACACAGACCTGGCTGCTGGGCCTGCGCATGTCTATCTGCAGCAGGTTTGAAATCTGCCTGCAGGAGGAACTCTGCAGGGATCCTCTCTGAAATATACTCTGAGCCGAGTGTGAATTTCATGCTCTTTATTCAGCTCCTAGTAGCAATGAATGAAACTTTCCCCAAAACGTCTAGCTATATATACATTATTTACACAATGGGCCGCGTGTGATTGGCTAATTCCGGGCTGCTCCTGCAGGCCAATCAGGTCGCTGATTCACTTCCACCTGGAGCTGGATTGGGTGGCTCCTGCAGACCAATCAGACTGCTGCATTCTGGATCCTATTGTTCTAGGATTCAGCTCAATACATAACACTCTTTCTTTCTTTCTTTCTTTCTTTCTTTCTTTCTTTCTTTCTTTCTTTCTTTCTATGATTTTTATTGGTTTTACATATAATCACTTTACGTAACATTGTACCCTCGTACATCATCTCTTTGGCTCGACTGAACCTCATGACTTCCCTCCCTCGCATCTGG